CTGATACCAGGGTCATCCCCTTGAGCATCGACGTGAGGCAGGATCGGTTCAACCGCCGAGCATGCAACAGGCCGTCCTGGTTCTATTCCCTTTCTGCAGCAGCGAAATCTCACCAAACCTGGAGGTTCGAAAGGTGGCAATAGATCTTTGACACCGTGCTTCAAGCAAAGCTGCAAGAAATGCTGCTTAAACGGCCAGCTCGTCCCGATGCTTTTGCTCCTTGATGCAAACACATAGTCTCTGAAATCAAAGCAACAGGTGCATGGGAATAAGCTTCCAAAGTATTTGCTACCACTCCAATAACTCAAATTTCAAACATAGGCAACTAAGGAATTTGATACCTCATAACAAAGAGTTCAAACCATAATGCAAATCAATCGACAAAACTAGATACAAATACATGACCCTCTAAATCTGTCGCCCTTAGGATAAGGGTAACTTCATCTTCTCGGATGCCATGGTTAATTTAACCCATAAAATTAATCATCACATCAAGAAAACTAAACCCTAAAAAGATAAAATCAAGTCCTCCATTCCTTGTTGCTTTTGAGGAATATCTCAAGAAGCAGTATAATGGTATTTAAGGAAACTGTTACCTTATGGAGAAATTAGGAGTTGGTGTCTCTTCAGGGATGGCGAGGCTTTGGGGAGCACTCTCATCAGTTGTCAGTGCAGGAAGGTTGAAGGAACATGAAGGGTCTGAAGGGCTTTTAGTGGATAACATCTGAAGAAGGCCTTCTCCAATCTTGCTAAATCTTCTAACACAAGTGGTAGCCCAAGAGCTTTACTGCTACTGGGCCTTCTCGTATCCTTAGCCTCCAGCATAACAAAGGACTTGAGCTCCCAAGCAACCCCTCAAAAGAAGAACTCACCTGATTTGATGCCTGCAAAAGGAGAAAAGAGAAAGCATTTACTAGAGAGGAAATAGGAACCACGACAGAAGGCGGAGTCTTCTGGAACATTATTTCATGTAGAAGAACTAAGACTGGATTTTGGGGCTCCTCAGTGCCATGAATGTAGATGAGGCTCCTCAAAACCTGGCCTCCCAAACACAGAGAAGATCAAAAGTCATGTGGGTGGAAACTTCCAGAGCTGTCATTTTATGTGACCAAAGGGGTAAGGAGAAGAACCACAGGGGCAACCACACCACTCTAGAACAGTACAGGAAGGAAGCTTACAGAAAGATCACAAGGAGGAAGCAGAAAACCCAAGCACATGAAATGATGAGTAAAAGAAACAAAACAAAACAAAAAGAGAACATAGTACGACACGAGGTTTGGGCGTCAAGCTAAACAACCACCCAAGATGATTTAGAAGCATAGCCACCCAAGGAACTTGATGGAAATTTAGAGAGAGAGAGAGATGAAGGGCATCAAGGCTGAGACACTTTCACATTCATCTTTGGGGCCTCGCTTTGATGGATTCCTAGGATGGAACGGAAGGGAATAAAGTAGGTGAAATTACAGTTTCTTGGAAGGAAGGATGATGAAGAAGCTCACCGCCACTCACCGGTCAAAAATGACTAGCAAATCTGAAGAAAACCCCTTTCAGATTTTCCTCCTCTTCCCAAGAAGTAACAGAAAACCCAACAAAGATCCAAGACATCCAGCAAAAGATTTAAGGAAAGGAAAGAGAGGCGAGGAAGGGAGGCGAGATTGATCAGATGGAAGATCCAACACGAGGACGTGAATGATGCAAGCTGATGCAGGGGCTGAAACAAGACCCAAAGAAAATACATGAACAGTACCCCCACCACATGGAGACTCTCAGAGTCTCAAGGACTCTGCAAGAAGAATTATGTGCAAGAGATAGAAGAAGAGAGAAATCATGGCAGGAGGAGATAAAACACAAAAAAAATCACACTAGAGAGAGGAAGCGTCTCCAGGCCTTACGCAGTCTTGGACTCACAAGGAAGAAGGGATCCAACCAAACTCGAGATTGCAACTGCTGTCGAGTTTCCTGCACAACAAAAAGAGAGGAAGAGAAGTCGGAACTCAAGAGAAAGGAGAGGATGTTTTCTTTTTCCTCCACCACCACTCACAGTAAGCAGATAGGAGGGAATAAAAGATGAGCGAAAACACCACCCACTCACATATCAAATGGCATCAGGTTCCCCACCAAAGGCAGGCCCTGTACATCAACAGCAACTTCCAGAGAGAGAGAGAGAGAGAGAGAGAAGGGCAAAGTAAATGGAGGAGTATTCAGAGAGCTGTCCTATCCTGTACCAACTCTATTAGCTTTTCTATCATCTTCTCACTCTCCTTTTTCTTTTGCTGACATTATACTTAAATGAATTGAGGATGCTAACTTTTGACCTTGCCTTTCTCCTAAACCATAGTGATGTCCTTCTTTCTTCCATGCTCCCTCAGTTGGCCAAACTGCCCTTGTTCAAGGACCAAAAAAAATGCTTCAAGAAGATGTTAGTGAGTAAGCTCAATGTTTGCATTTAGACTTCAAACTCTGAGCAATCTATCAATCAATACTTTAAATTCTCCCAATCATTATTAACTCAGATCTCTTCGAAGCCAACCTACCTGCATTGCACAACAAATTCTCACGATCTTTGCCTTTATGCACATGAACAAATGTAAAGGTGTTCATTGGAAAGTACTCATTAAATAAAAATCAAATGTTCTCTTTCTTCTTTCTTTTTTTTTTCCCCCTTCTAGTTTAATTCTTCCAGTACACTCCATGGATGGAACAAAGATGCTAGCTTTAATGTTGTGTCCAATTTTTCATGATTCCCAACACGCCACCTTTTTATTTATAGGAGATATATCCGAGGCACGCACTTCTTCCCCCTTCTCCTTTTCCAAAAGACAAAGAGACAAGGATGGTGCGATGGACCAAAAGATATCGATGTTCCCTGATACGCCCCTGGCCCCTTAATGCAAGGATATACTACAAAGCGAGGCACTTCATTCATTAAACTAAGATTAGTTTGACTAGCAAAGGTGTGCGGGGTATATGCTTTTGGGGTTCAGAAAAGAATTGCAACCTCTTGCAAAGGCTCGGAGACTTTCTGATGCATGATGCCCAGCTTGGATGGATGGATTTGGGGTGGTGGTGGTGACCAACAGCATAGTCCTCCTCTTTAATGTTTGCCGGTGAAAGAATCCTTGGTTCATTACAATCAAAATACTCTGTGATTTGGATGCCTCTATTTGCATTAAATTTTGGCTCTACAAATAATCATTATTAGCGTTCCAAAAGTAACTTAAATCTATCTTTTATAAACAAGCATTGTAAGCATTGCAATTGAGCAGTACAATTCTCCTAGGCGCCAATACAATACTGACATCATTAACAGTAGATTAAGACATATAATAAGAAACCCAGGATAGATAGATAGATAGATAGAAACCTATAATTCTCGGTATTTGGAGCTATGAGTTGTTGCTAAATGGCATTTACATAAGCCTACACTTGAGGTTGGTGAGATAAGATTGCAGAAAGAGATTAGGTGAAAGAAGACAATTTCTTCCCCTGTTTCAGTCGATTATGGGTCTCTTGAAGTCGAATGAGTCCGAGCGAGAGTGATTAGGCACCTCCGTTGCGGTATCGAACCGACCGGCTCATCGGACCGGTTCTTCGGTGGAAATTATTTCTCGAACCGTATGCCCGCAACTCGGACCCCGACTTAGGGCGCGAATCACGCACAACATAAAAGACGATGATGACGACGACGCTTTGGGGAGAGAGCAGAGGTACGACACGACGACCGGGTTGCGAGGCGGGCCCCGGTCAGGACGCGTGGAGCCCGCCGACGCAGATGGCCTCCGACCGACAGCACGTGCACCGCGCCACGTGGTGTCGTTACGTGGTGAGGTGGCGGGCTGCGTTCGGTCCGCGGCGCCGAAATGTCGGACCGCCATACGTCTCATCGGATGCGGATTTGATCTGCAGGGGATCCGACCCGAGTTCGGCAGCATGGAATGAATGAATGATGGGCGGAACTGGTGATGCGTCTCTGCGCGGTGGGAGGTCTTTGTGATGGGCCAGCCATGGAAGCTGTCGCACAGGCCCTGGGAGCTGTCCTCACTGAACTCCCATACTTAGTATGGCTTGATCTGTGTGTTCATTGATGTGGACTTCTGGGCTCCAAATTATTGCTGCACATGCTCTGCTGCTACGAAGACCTTTGACAACACAGTGTAGATTGTTTGATTCACATCGATGTTAGCATGATGCATGCGAGTATTATAGCAGTCGATTGATCACCTTCAAAGATGAGTTGTGTGATCAGAAGAAGAATCCCAATTGTATCACTTAAAGAACAGATGGAAGCATGTTGACCTGTACTTCTTCGGTGCATTGACCTTCGAACAGCAAACACCTTGGTCGATGAGTTAATGTAATCTTAAGCTTCGATTGTGGCATTTGCTTGCGAGTCACAAAGCGGCAGATGAGATGAGACGGCGACGGAGACAAGGAAGTGCGCCCACCCACCTTGTGTGTTGGGATAGAAAAGGGTGATGGGGCTGCATGCAGGACACGACCCTTGGGAAGATCACATGAACTGATTGCCGACAGAAAGCAAGTTTTGAGGCCACCATCTTCTTTATCTGTTCCTGCAACAGTAAGGATACTGGAAATTAATTCACGGTTACCAAACAATTCAGCTCAATCTCTGTGTCATATGAGATACCATTTCACTTACATTATGCTTGGTGCATGATCAAAATTTGCAAGCAGTGCAGCAGAGTGAAGCCAATATTTCCTCCTGATGATGATCAAACATTATTTCGCAATGGAATGCGAGAAAGATGGGATTCAGATGCATCTTCTCTGTGTCATTCCGATAATGGGATGATTTGTGAGGAAGATTGCAGGAGCCCAACTTCTCAAGAGGAAAGATCCATCCATCTGTTGGTTGCCTCCTGCTACGCTTGTGACATTTTACCTCCTCAGACAACTGGAGGAAAATTATAGAGCTAATTGTAAATGTATCAAGCTGCTCTTACACAATAATCAAAAGCATCCAAACCAGTATTGTGCCTTGTCGATTCTTCATTTCAGAAAAGCAAGTCCATGAGTCAGCCAGTCATTCCCTTCGTTCTTCGATTTCTAAAGTTCGCAATGACCATTACTAATCCTGGAGATCCTGCATTTTGTAATCGTGAGAATCAATAAAAAAAAAATGGCTATAGTACGCCAGCAGAAATAAGCATGAAACTTCATCCAATATCTCGAATTGTTATGCATATGTAAGACTCTGTTAGGAAGCCTTTTAGCTTTAAAGTGATTCTTCAGCCTCGACATAAATGTTTATTTTCGGCTAACCTAAATGCTAGTAAAGATAAATGATATCTCAGCTTACCTTGCATACAAATTCTCCAACTCTTTGTTGTCGTCCATCCATACCTTCGAAGTCGGCTAAAAACAATGAAGAACTTGTGGCTCCGGTAATAACATTCATGTCCAGAACACAGGGGGAACTGAACCATGAGAGGATCATGTTTACAGTGAGAAAATAATTACAAAACAAAGCATTCAATCCAATCTCACTGAACTTACTATGTTTAAGGTGGAATTCATTGAAGAATAACGGTAAAATGATGCATTAATCAGTTGATACATCATAGTATTTTTTTTTTTCCTGAAACTTGCAACTAAATTCATGACAAAAGAAGGGTTACATGTAGTAAAAGCCAAAATAAGCATTAATCTGATGTAAGCAGATGGATTAGGCCATGCTATCTACGTTGGCAACTAAAGAGACAATATCGATACCACCAGAGGTGAACCCTCTGAATCTTTATTAGCACTTATCTTTAAGGAAAAAGGATGCAGTAAAAATATTTCCGATTGCTTATTTCCAAAATAAGCATTAGGCTGATCTAAGCAGATGGATTAGGTCATGCTATCCATGTTGGCAACTAAAGAGGCAATATCAATACCACCAGAGGTGGAATTCCTGAATCTCCATTAGCACTTATCTTTAAGGAAAAGGGAAGCAGTAAAAATATTTCCAATTGCCAAACATAATCAATCTTTTAGAAAATTACTACACACAGCAGAATATAACATATTATGTGTAATACTTCTTTCTTAAGCTTCCTTGTGAAACTGTAAGTGAAGCTAACCTTCAATTGTCCTACAGATTTAGCCTTTTACTTGTAACCAATAGTATCTTCATAAGTTAAAAGAAGTCAAATTGTCCTACACACATTCCACACTGAATCACTCAAATTATATCACGCGAAAAGAAAAGGCTTCTTCTTTAGTTCCCATATGGTAATTATGAAAGCAATAAAACTTATCAAAAGAATGAAACCTCGATGTAGGTCAACCTCTAATGCTAATAGAATCCAAAAACCTCACTAAGTGGAAAGTCACCAATATCTTTCTCTTGTTACAATCTGTGTAGCACCTCGGTGCTTCATACGACTTCCCCATCTTTCTACCAGCACCACTGCCAAATCTATCCACCTCCAATTCCATCGGACAACCAATTTAATCTCTCATCTATTTCATTTGGTGTCTCATCTCCTCAAGAAAACAAATAATGTTCCAGTGATTTTGTCATTGCTACCACATAGTTTCTAAGAACTTCTCCAAATAAACCAATGTCTTTTTGTAATGGTCATGCAGATTCCACAGCTATTTACCAAACTAGCAACAAAAGATGATGTTGAACACATTTAATGATAAGAATCACGAATCTGAAAGAACAGAATCGAGAACATACAAGAAAAAGGCTTTCACCATTGTTTTTACTCACTCGGTGAGCAACATCTCGACAGACACTTCCGATCCTCCTCCTTTATCAGCCACAGGATAGCGTCCACCCTCTGCCGCATGATCCAGGAATGTGTGTACCTCCGGGTTGTCCTTGTGGAACCGGTACGTCTCTGTCTTCTCCTTGTCCTTGAGGCACGCTCCATGGCCCCGGGCTCCTTCACCTGCTTCAGACGCAGGTACGTCTCCATCATCCTGTCGCACCACCCGTCCACAAACGCCTCGCTCTCCAAGTAGCCTTCCTCCAGCATCCACAAGATCTCGTCTTTGCCGACGGTCGCCGTTGCCCGTACCACCACGTCGCTTTGTGGGGGCAACCTGGCGGCCGGACCACTCGATATCTTGCCCCGGGGTTCGTCCTTCTTCCCTCCTCCACCGTCAACGTCGGCAGTGAGGCAGAAGAGGAGGATTCCTCTCTCTCTCTCTCTCTCTCTCTCGCGCGCGCGCGCGCCTGCCTATGGGGCACCCCACATGGTTATGGATCCTATCCAAGAATAACTCTGAATGAAATCTTGAAATTCCTTACATCAGGACCGTCAAACTCCAACTCGGCCTCTCATATGAATATAAATAATAAATGTCCCTTCTCTTTTAACTTTGAAAAAATTATATATATATATATATATTAGAATCCATCAAATGCTTGGGAAGCAACTTTGGTTTATTTCAATTAAAATTTTCATGTGATGTATTCTTAAGCCATCTTTCAAACAGTTGTTTCATCTGCTAAGACTTGGCATACTTTGGTGAAGTCTTGCTTGCAATAATTGAGAACAGAGTATAGTTAATGAAGCTTAGCATCAACAATTACACAAAATGGACATTTCATTACTGATCACCCAAACAAAATGGACATCTTCTCAACACATCCTTCTACTGGAAGAAAATTCATCAGCATGAAACTGCAGTCCTTCCACTAGACCATCTGAAGATGATGTATTAAAATCTAAAAGACAAGTGAAGAACAATCTTTATCAATTCGATAAAAAGAGATGTTTGCGATATGCCTGCTATCAGGTCATGTTGACGATAACAAAACATATATTGCACTTACCTATATTCCTGGTCTTCTCTTAGAGAAGCACATCGCTAGAACAAGTCTGAAGGAGCAAGGATGATATCGAGGTTATAGGGATACTGTAATTGAAATAAAACTAAAACAATTCATCTTTTTCTTCCCGGTGTTAAGAGAAGCATTCAGCTTTCCTTCTGTTATTTACAGGTGCGGTCCTAGAGGTAGCCTGCTCATCATCTGATGATAAACTGAAGTTGCATTTGGTGGCACAGGCAGCACTGAATCCGGCGCAGATTCCTCCTTTGGCTCTATTTTATGCATCATATATCCTGCTTCAGCAGGATGATGACGACCCAGATAGGGATGAACTGGAGGAATAACTGGCATCTTCATTGCTGCCATAGGACCCAATCCAGCCATAGCAAGGTTGGTCAAGCCTGGTTGTCCCAGTGCAAAAGGGAAGCAGCTAGTTGCTGGTCCTAACTGCTCTCTTCCAGGGAACCTAAATGTGCCAAGAGGTGCATGGCCGTCAAACCTCACAAAGTTGTCTTGGGTTGGCTCTGACCTCTGCAGAAGGCTATGAGGTTGAGGATCTGAATTGGGATTTGAGGAAGGAGCAGAATTTGGATGACTGCTGCTTCTTGCCACTGGGACGTCATGATTGTGCTTGCCCTCATACGTTGTAATCACCGACTTAAGATCATGTGAGGCCCTCTCTATGTGCTTCCGAACTATGCATCCTGGATTGGTGCACTTATAATAACTCCTGCACCGAGACAATGCTTGTTTGAGAGAGTATTTCAGATGATCTCTCCAGCTCCAACCAATAACATATGAAAACAAATAGGATTCCCATGAATTAGAGTTACATGTGCAGCCATCAATTGAACTATGACATAGGTAACAGGCGTACCTTGGATTTGGATTTCCTTTGACAACCTTTTGTCCGTACTTGCGCCAACGATACCCATCATCCAGAATGTCAACCTCACTAGTCGTCTGAACCACAACTCTTGGTTCACGAACTGCTCTTGAAGCTGCACTCATTTCGATGGCACAAGCGTCTATCTTCCTGAATCACAATAGATGGAAACAGGCAACTTATTATTGTAGTCCTCAGACACAAAAAAATGAAATAACTAAGTTTGGCTATCAGGTGAAATTTTCCTAGTTCAAACTACTGCAGAAACTCAACATTAAAGTGGTAACAAGAAATTAACCTTCTCTTAGACTCGGTCTCATCTCCCTCACCATCACAACCAAGTGAGACACTGCCATGGGTTGCTCGATCATCATCTTCCTCATCATTGGACATTGTGGATGAAACACCAATAACATCTGAGGATAAACGGGTACCATCTTGGTTCTGCGGCAAGGAGTTAGAAGGGTCACACTGTTCAGCAGCAGCAGGGGCAGACGAGGTTGCCTCCAGGCCATTCACCAACCAATCTTGGCCTCCATTACCACTCTGTGAGCTTCCTTTTGCAGGTTTGCCATCACAATTTGTTTGCGAACCAGGTTGTTCTGTGCTGTCAATCTGAGCGTCATTGAATGGGTGAGATGAAGGAATACCAGGCCGGCGATTTAGGTGAGGTTTTGGGTGATTATGGGCACCCTTGTAGATTATCTCAGTGATATGGCCCTCATGAGAGCGCTCCACCTTCTTTTTCACCTGACAATTTGGTTGAGTACATTTGTAATAGCTTCTTGGATATTCGCAACCCTTTACCTGTTTCTGCCCATATTTCCTCCAGTTGTATCCATCCTCAGCTGGAGTGCCAGCGGCTGCAGAAAGTTCTCCTCTTAGGTCACCTTCCCCATCATGCTGGTCATCAACAGCTGGAGAATGGTGACTTGCCACTAAGGAGTTGAACATTCTCTGGTTTAACTTAGTATTATTGATAGTATCTTTTCTGTCAGATGGGGCATAAAAGCCAGCCTGGAGGTGAAATTCTTGTTGATTTTGGATGCTGTTCTTGTCAGCTTCTATACTTCCTGCTTGTGTAGGCTTTTCTGGTTGAGTGGACACCTCCATGCCTGGTAACTCCTGCGGCTGATCAATATTATCAAGTAGGTTAAGAAAACAAGATTTGAATGGATAAAGATCATCTTGATTTGCCTAACTATATAGAAACATTAATAGAAGATGGACTGTTCCATGCATGCATCTAATAATATTTAGATCTGCATTAGCAATTAACATTGGTCATTTCTGAAGGGATGGAGAACCTCTAATTTGCTTAACTATGTGGAAGTATTAAAAGAAGACAGTGTTGAATCTCGAATTTTGATGACGAAATCAATTGATGAATTAATGATCTAATTTATATATTGAGATAAGTGATGCAGGACTAACTACAATCGTGAAAAAGATAAAACAATTAAAGAAGAATCGAATGTTAGGCCGGAGTCAATGATCAGGCATCAAGGCTAATGAATCGAAGGATACACCGAAGGATCGAACAGTGCAGTGAAAGCTCGCCGGGAGTTCGCCGAAAGCTCGCTGGAAGATCACCGGGAGTTCGCCGGAAGTTCATCAAAAATTCAATTGAACAATTGACATGTCGGACAACTTAGATTGCTTGTAATCGTAATTGTTTTAGCCTTAACTATCGTAGTTAGGATTTTAATTTGAGTTAGTTTTGGGAGAAATCCTACTAACTCAATTAGGAGCCAACTAGACCCAAAATAAAGCTGAATTGGACCGATTGTATGGCCCATGCAACCACTTGGAGCCATGTCAGGCGATGGCACCGCTAGACTGAGCGATGGAACCGCTTGAGGCTCAGCCTCCCAGGTGGTATGAGCGATGGTACCACCCAGATTGGGCAGTGGTACTGTCGGCAGTTAATGCAGCCAAGCGGTAGTACCGCCAGAGCCCAATCTACGAGGATCTGCCAGGCGGTAGTATCGCCAGACTGGCCGATGGTACCACCTAATACCCCGGAAACCCAGGATGAAACACTTTTTGACTCCATTTTTTAAGCCATTGGGGCCTATAAATACCCCAATCTTTCCTGCATGAAAGAGCATGAAAAGTGTGAACAAAAGTCTTGAGATTTTGATTGTAAAAGTGTTGAAAAAGTGCTAAGTATCCTCCTCCTTCTTTAGCTTTGTGATCATTCTAAGAGAGGTGTGAGGCTTGTAAAGGTTGTCTCCTAAACCTATGAAAAGGAAAAAGAGTTGTAAGAGGGTAGTTGGTTTTCGTTCATTGAAGGAAGATCGTTAGTGGATGCCGGTGGCCTCAACGGAGGAGGAATTGAGATTGGACGTAGGTCACGACGATCGAACCACTATAAAATTGGTGTGCCTTCTCTTCTTGGCTATTTACTTACTTTGCAACTACTTTACATGTTCAACACTCTCCTACGAACATCTTTAAGCTTAAACGTCTTTCCGATCCAGTTTTATCGTACGAATTTTTCACGATTGACGTAGTTCTCCAAAAGCACTAATTAAGCCTCTTCTTAGTGCTAACTTGATCCTAACAATTGGTATCAGAGCCAAAGTTTTTCTCGTTTGGTTTAACACCCAAGAAAAATGACTTTTAATTTGAGTTAGTTTTGGGATAAATCATACTAACTCAATTAGGGGCTAACTAGGCCCAAAACAGAGCTGAATTGGGCCGGTTGTATGGCCCATGCAGCCACTTGGAGCCACGTCATGCGGTGGAACCGCCTGAGGCTTAGCCTCCCAAGTGGTCTGGGCGATGGTACCGCCCAAACTCGGCCGTGGTACCGCCGACAGTTAATGCTAGCAGGCGGTGGTACCGCCCTGTCAGGCGGTGGTACTACCAGAGACCAGTCTCCAAGGCACTGTCAGGTGGTAGTACCGCTAAATTGGGTGGTGGTATAGCCCAGTGTTAATCTGCAGGTGGTGGTACCGACCAATAATGGCGATGGTACCGCCAGTACCCTGGAAACCCGAGATGAGACACTTTTTTACTCCATTTTTGAAGTCATTAGAGCCTATAAATATCCCACTCTTTCCTGCATGAAAGAGCACAAAAAGTGTGAACAAAAATATTAAGATTTTGATTGTAAAAGTATTGAAAAAGTGCTAAGTGTCCTCCTCCTTCTTTAGCTTTGTGATCATTCTAAGAGAAGTGTGAGGCTTGTAAAGGTTATCTCTTAAACCTATGAAAAGGAGAAAGAGTTGTAAGAGGGTAGTTGGTCTTCGCCCATTAAAGGAAGACCATTAGTTGACATCGGTGGCCTCAATGGAGGAGGAATCGAGAGTAGACGTAGGTCACAACGACCGAACCACTATAAAATTGGTGTGCCTTCTCTTCTTAGCTATTACTTTGTAACTACTTTACATCTTCATCACTCTCCTACGAATCTGCTCTGATGTATGTTTTAGTTCTGAAGATCCCACTAATGATTCAGTAAGATTGAGGCTGCAATCCTACCTGAGGATCCAAATTATTTCTGTAATGTATATAGTGATGAAAGTAAAAAACTAAAATCACTTGTGGAGGAGGCTTAAAAGTGTAGTGATGATTCAAGAGAAAAGTATACCAGCAACAGAATTCGTGTCTGCAACATTACCTTTTTTCCGGAGGTTGAAAGGTGTGAGTGTGACTCTGGAGGAGGCTTAAATGCAAATGCTTCTAGATTGTCTTCAAATAGATAGTCTTCACTTTTAGTAGAAGCTGCTGAATTTGAGACCAACATCGAGTTTGAAGCATCATCTTCTGCAGATTTAAATTTGCCGGTAGTTGAAAATAGTTGAACCTAGAAAAATGACAATCAAAAGTACATGACAAGTTAAATCACATGTTACCGAGCTCAATCATAGAAATGGCTCAATCATAGAAATGGCTAAATTTCAAAAAAAATCTCAAAACATCATAAACTGATAACACATGTCCGGTCTATTCTACATGCATCACATTGAGTTTAACCCAACATAAGATAGCACACAGCCGAGCAACTGTTTGTTTATGTAGGCAATAGGAAACAAATATTAACTTACGCAAGACTTGAAACAAATGGCTCCAACAGTATGCAACATCTCGTATTTGTTGACTAGAATATCATGATCGTCATCATTTTTTGCTTGCTTAAGCTAGAATTGTACATCATGCCTACACTAACAGATAATTCGTTAGTCTGCTCAAGCATGAATTGTTAGCATACTCAATGGTCATAAAACATGATTGGTGAAGGAAGATTAAAACCAGATTCTAACTCTGGCTCTTAATGCATCAGACGAAAACTGGTTCCAAACAACAATCCACAGAATTTTTTCTTGCAAAAAAAAGGTTTGTTGTTATGACAAACACTTTGAACACAAAGATGCACTAATGCTCGTAGCTCAGTTCTCAAAAGTACCGTACCTGAAACCATATGAAAACAAAAGGAAACTTGTGGAGGGTCATTGTCACTCTTTAACAAGCTATACCTTTGGCAAAGTAGTCGATATTAATTTGCTCTTCTTGGTTTATATTTTCCATCTATTCAACTGTCATAGGATATTTATCTAAGGCCCATTATAATTGCCTGAAAGATGCAAGGTGAAATATCTTACCATAGGATCAGAAAGGAAAACTGGAGACTCCAACAACATGGTAGGACTAAGACCCGGCGGAATCGTCAAATAAGGCAAACCGACATCTGACTGTGAAGCCATGCCGGCCGGGGGAATACAGGCTGTATCGAGCTTCGGCACCTGAAACCCTTTTCTTGTTGCCATCCTCTCAGCAAGTCCTCCAGGAGTACTTGATCCAAACAATCTTGGTTGCAGGGAGAAACCATTTGAGTCACTGACACCAGCCTCATTCCCTTCTATATTTGTGTTTGTGCCCATCCTTTGGGTCTCAGATTTCCACAGAGGCCCCACATTTCCATTTCCATTCTCTGCCAAGAAATCCGAGAATGAACTCGAACCAAACGCCTCATTTGATAAGCTCGGAGGTAATGTTCTTGAGCTGCGATTCGAAGGCGACCAGAACTCGATCACGGAGCTGTCGTCATCTGTCCCAGCCATGATCGGTTCAGTTTCTGTAGGATCTGAGTAGAAAAGAGAACGAATACATGACAGTCGGGTCAAGCAGATGAACAAATGCAGCAAAAGATTCACCGATATCTCGACAATGGCGATAAAGATCGGCACCTATGCTTACTCCCACCTCAACAATCGTTTCTTAGCGCAGCCAAAGGCAAAATATCAGATTTTGAAGGATTTCCAGTTACGCAAACCATAGAAAAAAGACTGAGATCAAACAAAATCCAAATTTTAGGTGAAATAATCTCAGCTCGAACCAAAAGAACCATAAATAGAAGACAGAACAGGAAAAAGCTACGAACTTCAAGACAAATGAAGACCCAGCAAGTCCAAATGACCACAAAATCTCTCAAATGAAGCTGCCAAAAGCACACAAAGTCACGTCTTTGCTGCGGGAAAAAAGATAAGAACAAAACAGAAGATAATATAATGGCCAGCAAAAAAGAAAAGGAGGCGGAAGGTGCCGGGCCATCTAATGATTGGCGCTGTTCGAGCTCCGAGGCGACAAAGCCAGACCGATGCACAGAGAGATACTACAGGGGAGGCAAACATACATGAGACAGAACTCATCAAAATCTCTTTTTTCCTCCGGAAGGGCCAAATTCTGTCAATAAATCTCTCTGCTTTCTCTCCAGAAAAGAGAGAAAGAGAAGGGGAAGGTGGTTTGACCGATAAAGGGCCGAGGAGAAGAGAGGGCGAGAGAACCAAGAAATAAGAAGGATTCGTTGGCATCAAGAGACAGAGCTCTCTCCTTCGTTTGTTCTCTCTCCCTTCTTCGCCTTGTTTCCTCGCTTTCTTTTTATATAGTCTTTAGACATTTACAGGTTAATCTTAAATTATTCCTCTATTCTCCCTTTACACTTTGGGCCATTTTCACATCGACATACTTTGTGTAATCTCCATATATGCATACTAATATGTTAATTTCAGCATCTTTGCATGTAAATTCTCAAAGTTCCAATGCCATAACCATGAGTCTAAAAGTGCTCCTCCATTACCACCCATCATTACATGAGAATTTGAGACTTTAGTTCCTCAAATTAAGGAGAAAGTTTTGCACCCTCTTTTGATAAAATCCCCATGGCTATTTGTTCCAGCTTTAGACCGAACCCAAATACTCTGTTTGTCTGAATAATTCATCTTACATATATATATATATATATATATATATATATATATATATATATATATATATATATATATATATATATATGCTCTGTTCTCAGTTAATTCGAAGTATACAAGCAAATTCGATCGTAAGGATTTGAAGTAGCACATCTAAGTTCGGACAAATGGAAAATATTCAGGGAAATTAAGAACACACACATCAAAAGTTCTTGAAAGGATGATCACTGTCTTCTTGTTTCATCTCTCTGATTTAAACATCCAAAATTAGCACTTCTCTTCTCTACTGTTGAGATTTATGTGCGAATGTCAATTATAATAGGACCGAATCAACAAAAGAAAGATTTCGAGAGTTGTGGCCGTGTTATGTGGGGATAGCATCGATGTGGAAGTATTGGAGTCTTCTTTGCCTTTTTGTTGGCGCGTGGACTGTTCCCCATTTGCCACCTTTCTTCTCAATTTGTCTGCTTATAGGAGGCTGCTTGCGTTCCCGCAGAACAAAGCTTTTGCTTTTGCTTTTGCTCAGAAAATTGTTACTCGGTTTCCTCACCTTCTTCAACTTTTTGGGTAGCAGAGCAGGTGAAAGATTGATTCGATCTTATGGCATATAAAATTCTGGTTGCAGCTTAAGAAATCTCTTTTGTCGTCAAATGTCTCTTTCATGTCGTAAAAAGAATAAGCATTTCTTCTTCCGAGGGAATGTCTCCATCCAGAGGACCCTCTTGTCAGCATCTCTCATGCAATTTGGCTTGATCTTGACACCTGACAATTAACACGATATTTTTCCCTCAAAAACAGGACATTTTCTACGTCTATGTCCCTGTTAGTGGGTGCTTTTTTCGGTCACCCGAAAGAATGAGATGCACCATGTTCCTACCTACTACGTGGAGACAGTAATGAGAAGAACAAGGGCATGATCTCCTGATTGGGAGTTATGCACTCTTAATTCTTCGAATCATTAAACCTTGGGAACTTAGATGATCAAATATACTAATGCAGAACAGCAATTGCTACAGCTCTGGAGGCCTTCAAAACTTGAGCATGCAATGCGTGCATGGAACATTAATTCTTCCTGGATAATAAATACTCTTTCTTATCTGTGAAACTTTCTGCCACTCTCGGGCTATATAGAAAGGTGTTCCTGAGCTCAGGGCTGTGTCTAAATCTGATCACCTGTGATGCATATATTCTATTCCTAGTCTGCTTCAGGTCAGGGATCTTGTCATGTCTTGGAGACTCTCGAGTGCAAATCTAACATTGTCCTTCCGAGAAGAGAGAATATTCCAAGTAGCCTCGGAGGAGAATACAGACTCCCCCCCTGGTTGGGTCATATCCATGCACACACCACTACATGTGCAGCCAAATGAGATCAACAAAAGCTGCAAACTTAATTCTGACAGCTTATTATTTCCTGGCATCTGCATGAGAGCCATTAAACTCACCAAGAATTCCTTATGGGCAACTTTCTTAGAAATCAAATGCGCAGAACAGGGCAATGTCAAATTTCTTAGAACCAAATTTTACCATAGTTAACAGCATCTAAATAAATAAATGAATAACAGAGATAGTAGCAAGAATTCCCCAAGCAGTAAATGAGTCCAAAACAAGAAAGAAGGGTTTGATACAAGTTCCCAGAATTCAGAAACGTTTTTTCTGGAAACATGTTTCCGTTTAACAAAATGCCAACTCTACACGGAACTAGTGATGATTTAGATGCCATGGCACATATGGCGAGCTAAAAACCACAGGTAAAACTAGATAAAGGCAGTCCGGCCTCCTCTTCTACTGTTTCTGTCGTAGGTGGTGTTGAATTTGTCGACCAACTCGTTCAAGGTGCTGTACGTGTGTTAGAATGGGTTTTCTTAGTACAAGCAGAAAGTATGTATGATAAACTTGTTGCTCGCAGCATGAGATTCTAGTGCAGTTTCAGTACTTTTGCTTACCTTGAACAATTGGTCAACATGGCGAGGTAAGCAACAAGAAGTGTGTCATTGTATTCCTACAAAAAGAAAACAGCTGCTTAGTGACTGGAACAGATGGTTATGGGTTTCAGCACCAGAAGAGGACGAAATGACTGACAAAAAAAAGCAAATAATAGTTATATGAATGATACTAAAGTATCTCAAAGTATGCATTCTGGAACAAAAGAACAAAAAAAAAAAAAAACTTTAGAGAAAGTTGAGCTTAAAAAGAAGTTGAATGCATCAAACTTGAGCAGCAATCAAATCAGGTAATCAGGTAAGCATTCAACAGACCATAAGAAAGTCATCCTGAAACTTCTCCGATTCCATGGCTGGCAATCTTCTCAGAAGGCTCGAGACTTGTCTGAGAAATGAGTTATCTAAAGGGATATCACCTGCATGTTCAGACAACGATTAGCTACTTCTCATATAGTCAAGTGAATATGCCATCAAAAAGCCCATAGTTTTATACAAGTAGCACAACAGTAGGAAACTGTATCCCATAAACACAGTGCAAAATAACTTGCCAACTTGAGAAATGTAATTCCAATGAGCTGCAAGCCTGTTCACTCATCAACAACAATGATGTCCTTATCAAAAGCTAGATCTGAATGTTACATTTTCAATCTGTATAATTGTTAATGAGCAAATACAAAAACGAAAGTCAAAAAGAGATTCTATCACAGAGGATATATTGTAAGAGACTGATTTTATAGTAGAGAAAGAGTATCTGCCAAAATTGCTCCTTGTCGTATAAAAGTAATTGCATCTTAGAAGGAAATACCACATGAGGGAAATGATAGGGTGGTAATTTATTATGACTTTTGCAGAAAATAAAAGGTTCAGAGAGATCTTGAAATTTGATGTGTGTTACCTTTTTGCATAGCAACAAGATATTGATGAACAACTCTGATCCTACTATTCAGCATTTTGATCGCGCTATGTATGCCAGTAAGATGGGCAGCCACTAACAATTGAATGAATCTTTGTCAGTTTTCTCCAATCAAAACTGGGACACAAATCCAAAACAAGAAGCAAGTCTACCAGCTTTGTCAATAGGTCACAAGAGGAGTTACATAGACTTACATTGAGTTGCAGCAGAACCACCATCGGATGGTTTAAGATGTGCGACATGATCAACTGAAATTCTCTCTGCCTCTACAGTCTTAGATAAAGAAAACATTTATTTTAGTGAAACTAGTTACAATCCTGGCAGAGTTAGAACTTGGAAAGAAATTGAATAGCAGCAGCAACCTCAATTGTATAATTTGATCTGACAAAAATGAGCTGTGGGATTCCATCAATTATGTGCAACTCTTGGATAGTGATCATCCGTTCCAGTTTCCAGCAATAGAAAAAAACCCATTTTTAGTTATGCTTTCAAGAAAGAGTACTCGCAGAAAAATTATTGAAGAACTTGATCATCAAAAGCAAATAGTTGCTCACTGTATATATATCCATGTAACTTTGACCACCGGATCAACTGAAAATCATATATAAACTACATCGGAGTTACATAAATGGATGTCACATACTGGTCATGATACCCTGTACCAACCATGGTGCAAAATGTATTGATGCTCCAATTACCAGTTTCGATGGAAAGACTGATTGTATCTTAGCTGTGTTGAAGAAATGACTGACCGTGCCTTGTGCCATGCCAGCAATTACATCAATTGTAGGATGTGACCAGCATGTACAAGCACAGGCATGGCGCACTGCCCAATCTACAAAGTGCTTACCATGCTGTGGTGTCAAGCAGCCAATGAAATATTTGGCATGAGAACATACAGGAAGAAGTTTAATGACTTCTACACAGCTAAAATGTTCGGAAATTGAAAAGCAAGTCAATCACAACATATGTGATGATTTACAATGAATATTTTGCACAAGTTTGCATATATCAATGGTAAATAACAAAATAATTTAAGATTGGGGAGAACTAAAGAACTTGCTGGCAACTAATAACACCAAGAGAAATCCATTCTGATGTCCCAACAAGTGATTTAAATAGGCGCTCGCTCGCCCGAGCACCTCATGTGTGGACCAAGCGACGCGCTTCAATGAGAAGCCGCCTGGGTGCTCGCCCAAACCCAAGCGTCGAGCACTTCGAGCGAGCGCCCAGTTCAAATAAGCGAACCAAACCAAACTTTTAGGCCTGGTTCGATTCAAAAACATAGTTTCTTACCCTCAAAAGCCACCCTTCACGCCCACGCAACCCCGAGCCAACCCTAGCGCTGCTTCTACCTCCACTGCTGATGCTTTCTGTCGCTACCTCCGCCGCAGACGCAATGGACCGAGCCTTTGTCGTCGATGAACGAGTCCAACGACCTAGCAAGAGCCCGTAGCTTCCTTCCGTTGTTGCTCCGCGTACAATTCCTTCCACTATCGAGGGAGAGGACCGTATGTTACTCTGCCACCGACGGACGCCCTCTAGAGCTTCTGCCGCTACTGCTGCTGATGTCCGCAGCTTTCGCTACTGTTGTCCACAGCTTCCGTCGCTACTGCTACTACTGTCCCCAGTTGTTGTTGCTGCTATCTGCAGCTTCCGCCGCTACCTCTGTTGTCATTCGTAGCGCTGCCGCAGCTGTCTTAAACTAATCCTCCGTCGTTGTTGTTGCCAACTTCTCACCAATGTTGCTACCACTTTCCGTCGATTTCCACTATCAGTGACCCTTTTATCCCCTTCTGTTACTATTAACAGTTCTTGTCTCCCCCTCTAACTACTACTAATAGTAAGTAATATACTATTAACAGTATATTTTTAATTTAATATCATAATTTTATTTAAATATTTTTAATTATATTATATATTTTTATATTTTAATATTTCAGTGTGTCTCGCTTCGCTCAGATGAGTGCCTAGCGCTTTTTAAAATCACTATGTCCCAATAAGGATATCATGGACTTCAAAAGTTATGGAAACTAAAAGCTCTAACTCCAAAATGTTACATCAGAGAGGATTTTACTCCAAACAAACTTGAGGAATCTACCAAGCAACACAAATTAGTCTTATCTCCAAGAGAAGAGCCACGATCAAGCTGTTTATTACAACATATCATGAAAAGACTAATAATGCACAATGGGAATTAGGATATCTACATCAGCAGAAATCCTACAATGATAGCAAAATTGACTGTACCAAGACAAACCATGATGCACTAGGACCATCCAAGTTCAAAAGATCTTTTTCCTTGTCTATGTTGTTGTTGACAATCAAACATAAAAATATCCATTAAGCAATACTCTGCAGGTGAAATAGAGTGCAAGCTTGGTCCACTATAGTTAACCAGCAGACTGTTCAAGCATACTAGTGTCTGGGTAGAAAAAGGAACAACCATCCAAATTATTTGCTAACAACCATAATATACATAATCTTGAAGAGGTGGTACTTTTTAGGATATTGACCCTTCCTGACCTCCACATTAATCAAGATAGTTTGACACTAGAGCATATTTGAGGTTCTTATGAAGCAGGTGCACAGGCTAAAATAATGGCCTTCTTGAAAATTATTTTAATTCCTTTATGATATCGCAGGATAACCAAATAGAGACGTAGATCACTAGATCTAATCTAGAAGTGTCTTCAAATTTAAATGTCTGAATGCTCACCAATCACAATTCTATAGTTTTCTCCACTTATCTCCCACAAATTAACTTAGAAAATTTCATCTTAGTTCATTATAACAGAAAAAAAAAAGAGAATAAAGTCCAGAGTACATTGAGTCTTGAACATGTAGAAGTAGAATGAAAAGTTAAATGGATCACTGTTAACTGATGTATAAAGATTTTAAAAGAGACATATTAAGAAGGTTGTAAGGAAAGATCATGTACCACTTTCATATATGGTCACAGGAAGATCCTTCTGTGCATGGTTTATCAAAGGATTTAGAAGAACATAAACCGGACTCTCATTGATATCCATCAACTGCTCCATAAAACATGTTACATCAGAATATAGCATTTGAAGAGATAGAATAATCACCATATCCTCAATAAGAACCTTAGAAGATAGTAAAGATTACAACTAATCATCAAAAAATGTCAAGAGCATTACATGCTGTTAAGAAGCAACAGTACAAAGAAAAATTCTAACTTGAGTAATTTCAAGAACAAAAATTATAGATGACAATTTGAAGTACAAACAAACACCATAGGCAAATATTCAACATCACATCAATTCTAAATTGTATCAATAATTATCATATGTAAAACCCGACAATAAGAGGACATTCAATCCGATATTGGTTGTACAAAATTAACTGGCAAGCAAAAACCACCAGTTTTTTTTACTATTTGATTTTCCTAGATTTCTGTGAGCAATCCTGACTTGCAACTACTACGCTAATGACAGTAAATATTGATCCATGGCATAATTAGTATAGAGAATCATCAGGTCTATTTCTTTTACCATTTGATTACTTAAATTTCTCTGGCAGTCTTGATGTAGTTCGTATGATCAATTAGGGGATAAGATATTATCTTTGTTTTCATATAAAGGTCAATTTACTAAAACTTGAGTCAACTAAACTAGAAGGAAAGACAATATCAAAACTTTCTGGTATTCTAATAAGTATTTATTTGGTTTTGGTGCAGGCAGCTTACCATAACAACACCAAAGGGTACTACTAGAGTAGTAAAGACAATGTACCAGAGATGAATCACTGAAGAGAAACACCACCTCGACTTTAGCGAGGACTAAGAAGCTGTAGCTGAATGTTTGATCATAGATATCAAGAGAAATAGAAAGACAAGAAGAAAAGCACAAGATAGAAAACCAAAAATCAAAAGACAACAGAACAAATGGGAAAATAAGCGAAAGTAGGTAGGGGGAAAGGGCCAATTCCCCTTTCTCTTAATCCCATAGTCTGCTATTGAGGTAGCCTACCAGCATACACTTCCCCTTATAATCTTAATGGTTCTTCCAAGGTAAATGTAGCAGGAAGAATCTTTTTTCCTTTAGTTTCCTAGATGCTTATCCCGTACAGTAACAAAGGTCCAGGAAGAGAAAATTGGTTAATGCATCTGGTGAGATAACAGCATACAAAATAAAGATTGTCTTCGTCCAGCATTTCCTTTGGTATTTTGCCACTTATATCAAACATAGGATAACAATATTTTCCCCATACTCTATGAAACCAAATTTAATTTCAGATGGTGCATTCTTTATCTCTAAGTCCTTGACTGATTGCATATTTTGGTCTCTTGACACTTAAAATAACTTTTGCATTAACCAGATGTAGACACACAATTCTCAGGACTCTATCCTACATCAAATTCATCAGAAGCAACATAGAAGCTTCAGACCCCCCTGGGGCATTCCAGAACAATGGAACATCAATAATAAAAAATGCTTGCAATATTAACAAATATGCACGAGTACAGCTATACCGACAATAAGAACAGGAAAGATACCAATAACTCGTATCGTGATACATAAACAACGCAATCAATTCACAAAAAGAATTTGACATCTCTAATGGCAATGCGAAGCTTACAGCTTTATGAATTTGTAAATCTGATTCCTGTGCTTCACTGCCCGTCGAATACCACCCCAATATATAGAAGTTCGGAAATACCTTCTTGTCTGCACCGCCAAAAGCACAGATCATTTAGAACATACAAAACAGAACCAAACAAGAAACCCTAACTTCCAAAATCCTAGACGGAGAGCGGAGAGACGGAAGGCCCCAAGATAGATCGAAGGAAAAAAGGAGTGGCTTCGAGAGACAAGGGGGAGGGTTCTGATTACAGAGCTCTTGCTTCTTCTCAAGGAAGGAGCGGTCGAGGGAGTGGGTGAGGGGGTCGTAGAGGAGCTCGAAGCTGTTGAAGATCTCGACGGTGCGACCGCGTTGGACGCCGATGACGCAGCCGAAGACGCGGCCGCCTCCGCCTTCCGCGAGGGGGGCGGCGGAGGCGGAGTGCTGGATCTGGGCCCTGACGCGGGTGTGGTGATCAGAGATGTTGACGATCACAAGCGGGTGGAGCTTGAAGGTGAGCCCGCTGCCCGACGAAGAGGACGCCATGACTGCGCCTGAGGGAACGGAATGGGAAGGGAAGAGGGGAACGCGAGTAAAATTTTCCCCCTTTTAAATTTTCTTTTTATTTTTTTTTGGTACCTTCGTTATTTATAGAGCTATTACGCTTCTCGACGAGGACTAGCTGTGTGTTCTAGAACAGGGTACATGGCTTCTGTCCTCAAGGCGATCAGCCACTCAGGTTTTCCTCTGGAGTCGGTGGAACCAATGAATCATTGGGCGAGGTGAAATGTGGATGATGTCTGAATTCAGACAGTTGATACTCTTTTTTTTTAAATACTTACATTTTAGGGCGAATACATTCTTTTACGTTTTTCTCGTTCCTTTTTTTCGTATTTTCCAAAGCGCTTCTGTTTCCCATAATCCTTGGAATTTTCCGTGACAAGATAGTTGGAAGAATGTATTATTCCACCCTATAAATCACTCCGATGAAAACGTTCAATTCTCTACCTATAAGATTTATACTATGACACGTTTATCAAAACATTATAGTTGAAATAAATTGATTCAAAACTCAATAAAAATTAGATCTATTTTATGTTAACTATAAAATTTTACAATAGACTTATAATATTTTTTATATCAATTCATTCTATTTCGGATCGGTTCATCATACAGATCAATTCATTAAAAAAATAAAAAATTATCATCATATCTTATCGAAAATATTTTTTAAAAAATGATAAAATGGATATAGATCAAAAAGTAAAAAATAAAAGAAGAACTTTTTCAGAAAAATCCAAAAACTATTTTTTTTTTCTAAAAATTCGTCTTACTTTTTTTATACGAGGAAACGTCCGTCCACATCCGAATAAATCAATTAAACCAAAATCTAAAAGTAAATTATTTCTCTATGTACAGAAAGAATTGAGACTCCCAAAAAAATTATATAATTATCAACAAAACGTGTGACTTTTACATTCTACAGAATCAAACGTTAGCTTATTAATATCTCAAATCAATGTCAATTTTTTTTTAATGTAGCCATTCATATTATAATTCCATGAACAATCATAATTAATTTTAATGCATCCATCTAAGGGTCTTTTCCATCTCATAGGACTATCATAAATCTCAAACTCCCTCCTCAGGGTCAAATATGTTTCAGCATGGCATGCAATTAGTGTATATAGTTCTACAGAAAAGATAAGCAGTTAGATCCTCGTAAGGTTCTGAAAAGAAACATGAACATAGCCAAATAGGTAAAGGCAACTTATAATAGAAAGAGAAGCCTCTTAATTTTTGCTAATATACACCAAACCAATTGGCCTCCAGGGACATCCAGATTCCATTTATCTTCGGTAGAGACGAGTTGCTTTCTCCCCCATGTGAGGTAAGATGCCTCTATATCTGCTATCTGGTTCTCAAACCATTTACCCAAACAGCAACTAGGAGCAAATTTAACAAGTATCAAGACAAACATCTAATTATTTTAAACATCTATCTAAATATTTGATAAATTTTGAAAAAGAAACAATTAAACAAAGATCTTGAGCTTTGTTTGTGGATGACAGTGAATGCTTCCATTACCTCAAGAGGAAGCATCAAACCAGCAACTTGAGTGGTTTTCTCAAGGATGATCTTGAGCTTGCTTATCACAGCATTGGCTCTGGAGGAACACTAACACTTGCATTAACGAAACACTAACATCTCTAATCCAAAGCAACGTTGCTTTATATCATTAATTGTGTTGTTTCACCAGAGAACCTGATAACGATGCTTTAATAACCAGTTCATCATAACTTGGAAAGCTTCATGCAAAGGTACAACGATCCCTATTATGAAATTGAATGCTCTGAAAACAAAGTGAGATCCTTGCAACAGCCTGCCATTCTACAACAAAAGGACCAGACCCACTTCTGTAATGGGAACGAGTAGGGCATCCTAGGTCAACAGTTGAAGGAACCAACTGCAACACCCATTCGACGAAGGCTTTGATTTCAATAAATAGAACAGGTTAGCCAGTTAAGAAACATTAAGTTACAGAGAGATCAATAAGGTGCCTAAACTATAGGATAGATGTTGTGAACAGTATGACCATAAAATGGCAAATTTTGTTGGCTTCATAATTGGTGACTCGCGTGAGTACCTGTTTCACCACAACAAAAATGAGAAGTTGATAGTTAGAAACATGAGATTAAACTTGCAAAGAATGATGAAAGAAAGCATCTCAAGACAGGATGAAGCACAAAGGGAGAACAACTAAAGCAAAGTGGTTAAAGCACAATAAAGAAGACCAACAACAATTTTGCTCAAAAAACCAAAGCAAACCTAGTTTGAGTTAAATAGTTGCTAATCACCACTAATTCTTTATGGATCCTCCTCAGGTCCTGCACTTAGCTGTAGGAGCCTCCATCAGGACGCCCACTTTACTAGTTCTTTCTTGATGATTCAGTCTACTAGGGAAGAATACAATTTACATCAAAGGAATACCACCAAGTGCTGCTATATGATATTGCGATAAGGCAACTTGCTTATAATATCAACTTCGGCAACTGCCACTCGAGAGATTGGAAGAGTCCTGGCATATGGATGCATATGTTCACATGTCTTAAAAAATATCATGAATGTTTGTGAGCTAAATAATTTACAGAAATCCCACTAGATGCAACTTAGATATTCTCTTGTGCAACGAGTCTATTCCTGTGAGGTTTCTCCAAACATTCATCATGAAATTTGCACATGAACATTAAGGGAAATTGGCACGTGAACATGATGGGCATTGCTGAGATCCAATCCATTAAGCAACGTGCATGCGCCCTGGAACCCTAGTACCGAACCCAAACTCCAGATGCCAGGGCTTTCAATCAGGTAAGTGTTTCAATTGAAGTGCAGGAAAGGTAAAAAGCAGACAATTGGTCATCTTCCAGCCTTGTGCACATTATCAGACTTCACCATCAACCAAAAAGTTGCTTCTCTACTAAAATTAAGCAAACAAAATCCACCTCCAAACAAAATCCTCAAGTGGATTCTGTTTTCTGTAAGTTAATTGATTAGACTTCATATAGAATCTAAAGTATTGAACAGTTCCAGTTGTGCTTGTATCCCTGTCACATGCTTAATTAGAAATAAAAGGAAAAAAGGTAAAGCAAAAGACATGACAACAAGTCTTACTTTTTCCCCAAAGATCTGGCCAAGTGAAAAAGAATTGAGAGAGAGAGAGAGAGAACTCCATCCACTCTCACACCAACAAAATGCCAACAAATTTAGCATCTCATTTCTTGTATTTAAAGAAAGAGCAACAACTATCTTGATTCTGCAGTTTTGTTGTCCTCAAATACAACCTTTTGTGGTTTCTATCTATAGGCAGTACCAAAACTACATGTTAATCAATAATTGTCTAAGGTCCCTGTTTAGGTTTCACACTAACCACATGTTTTTTCACAGTCCATTTTATTTTCTCCTTGCAATTAATAAATGAAAGATCAACTACATGGACCAACGTCAACATATACATGACTGTGAAACTGCTTAGCTATGGAAAACTTGAGTCAGCACCAAATTAATCAGACTCATAATTACACAGTTCATTCTGCCATGGTGCAACCAACTGTACAATTTTAAAATCAGCAATGCCCCATAATAAAACGAAATTAAAACTTTTCCTGCTCCACCAGTTTAACTTCTAATCAGAAATTATCAAAACGAATCTGCAATGCATAGTTAGATACCAAGAAGTAGTCCTACATTCAACTGATACTGTAAGTTGCAACAAAAGAAAATGCACATTATAAAGACTAACCTAATTGCAGGACCACTTGGAAGAAAAAACAGTCGTGGGGGATAAAATATATAACAATATCATCCAACACCATCAGCTGGTGCTGAAATGAGCCCTTTGATTCATTGTATATCCATCACCATCAGAGGTCTGACAACTGCCTTCTTTGGCTAACCTATTACTACAACCATCCAAGTATTCAGGTGATCTCTTTTCACCAAGTGCTGCTTCAGGTACAGACTTGACAGTTTTGATATTTTCATCCAGTTGAATTGCAGAAGCATTGACATCGCCAGACAATTGAACTTGGTCAAAATCATGTGTTAATGGTGCTTCAGACAAATTATTATTTTCAACAACCATATCATGTGCATGCTCACAGGAATCTTTTGGCATAGGACTTGGCTCCAAAACAGACACGGAGGTTGGTTTAGCATCGACCAAGGATAATCTATTATCCTCAATGTTGTTAAGATCCTCACTGTGCATGTCTGGATGGGCACATACAGCCCCGGTTATTTCCTTTAATGGATCAACGTCAATTGCCTTAAGTGTGTCATCCTCTCTTTTACTTCCAATAATGGTCATAATCACTTGTACTTCCCCTCCAGTTGTCCTTGAATCTGGAATTGACATGCAATGATTGTCCTCCATGTTCAAAGAATAGGCTTGTTGAGCAACACCAGAATTGTCATTGGCTATTGCTTTCTGTTCATTAACCCTGGTGTCCAAACTTTCTGTTTTCTTAGAAGAAGCATGAACGCTCGCATTTGCAGCAGTCTTTGGTGCGCTAACAGAAGCTCTTGTAACCCGACCATATTTAGGTGGCAATGGCTTTCCATTACTTGATGCCAAGCATCTCGGACAATGCCATTCTGCTTTAGGAGTACCTTTATTACCATATGATTGAAGACATTTCAAGTGGTTTCCTTTCTCACAAGCATCACAGATGAGCAAACAATCTATATCAATGATAATGTTCTTGCATAGTTGGCAATTTATAGTAGCATTCATGTGCTCGGTTGATGGGGGAGTCCAAATTGGATGATCAGAAACCTTTGCTTGCAATATTGTCAGCACGCTTTTAGCAATGTCATTATGGTTCGTAAACAGAGCAGGTGTATGAACAAGTCCCAAGCCTTGAGGAGGTTGATGGGCAATATGCAGGCCTCCTGGTCCAGGTTGAATTATAGAAGGCTTAATTTCATGACTTCTCATCACCTGATGGGAAGATTGGACAGCATTCACACCAGTAGTAACCTCAGACTTTGCAGAATTATGATCCAGAAATTTATTTACTTGGCCAAACTTTGACACAGAAGCAGGTGTTGATTGCACAGAAGATATTGGAATTTTCTGATGCATGTTTTCTGCTACAAAGGAAACAATTTACTGTCAAAGAAAATACATGCATATATGTATCCGTGCAAGCAAAACAACTGAAATATAGGGGAAATAGAAGATGTAGGTTCAATATTTCAACATCGGCAGAATTAGGAAAACAAGAAGAACAACAATAAAAAATCAAATTTATAATTCATAGTAAATTGCCAAACTTCAGTCTTGAACTCCAAAATATGCATCAACAACAGTATCCTAATCTATACAATTGAATGGATCTGCCTGGTCTGAGAGATCAAGTGGACTCCTTATCTCCATTAATCATCAAGCATTTGGTTGAGTTAATAGGTCTGGATATCTGTTCTTTGAACATTAGAAAAACACTATTTTTTTAAATTTCAAAAGTTTAACACTTCTCAGAAACAAGAAGAAATGCAAAAAAAAAAAATCAAAGTGTTTTTTTCCTTAGCTTCTAAGTTTTTTTTTAATTTAACAATAAAAAAGGAATCAAACAAAAAAAACCAAGGTTTTAAATCTTGACCACATCAGCTGGTACGGACAGGTATTTACCAATCCGATCAAGAACCGTTGGTTAAATATATGGCTCGATATCAGTACATGATACTGGGTGGTTGGGATCAGTAGACCATCCATTCCAGTATACCAGTACAAAATTGATCATGTATTTTACTGAAGCCGGTTATGCAGAATGATTTAAATCCTTGCAGAAAACAATAAGTACACCCTAAAAGAAAAATAACTACACCCTAAAAGTGGTCAAGCCACAGACATAAGCCACTTTATAACCAAAATTCCACATCACAAGACACATAATGAAGATGGCCAGAGTGCAATATTAACCTTGAGCTTGTGTCAGATAAGATGGACCACCAGGTTTTGCATTCAATTTAACATGTGCTGAAGAAGAACCCCTTTCAAGTGAACCGGATGGTTGTTTTACAGGATTAACAACAGCCTGCACATCACTAATATGTGACTGCTTAAAAGAAGAGGCAGCAGAGGTTAGGACAGGAGCATGTGCTACCGGTGAAGAAATTTGAAAACCTCCAGCAGAGGTCTCCATCGGACTTTTAACCTGCATAAACCTAGAAGCATCATGTGCCAAGGGTCCATGTGATTCAGATTTTGCACCGAAGCTTACTGGAAGATGTTGAAGCGAATAAACTGATGAGCGCATGTGAGTTTCCTTGGACTCTTCCATCTGTAATATTGAACCAGGATCATATACCGTCAAGTAAACTCACCAGTAATAATAGCTTATAAAGATGTAAGCATGCCAAAAGAACAAGAATGCCACCTCACAAGAAAGTCAATCTGATATTTCACATGCAAACAAACACCTGCCATGAAACCTGGAAGGAAACTAATATGGGGCTTTTACATTCAAAGAAAAAAGGAACAAATGCCAGAGAATAAGAAGTCACTTATTAGCAATCAACAAATAAGTTACCAAATATGACATCAAATGAAACCAAGTTTGACTATGACAGATCTCACGTACCTCCCCTATGGTATCAGAGGAGTATATTACGATTGCATCGGCATTTCATATTTTCAGAACATTCCGATAAAATATGTGATATCACAAGCTTCACAGATTTGGCAGGCAGGCGATATTTCAATTTTTTAGTAAGGTCAGAAAAGGTGTAGCATAAATACTACTAGTGGTAACGCTTAACACGTTAGCAAGACACTAAAATCGAAATGGCATGGTCCTCTGAACTTAGCAAGAGAATGCATCTGAGGCATCATGAGAAGTGCTTGAATCCTTAACAATTTACACCGTTTCTAGTTGATTTTATGATTTGTCGTAATGAGTTGAAGGACTCAACCCAAAAACTCGAACAGGTGAGTAGCCGTTTGGTAGACTCCAATGTTTTTCTAAAGGTAACCAATACCTTACAACACCAAAAAAAATCCAATGCTTTTGTTTTCTAGCAGAGTGAGAAGCAGCTCCAAACATACCTCAACGATCCTAAACACCTTGTAAACATACGCATGCGGAGCACTGATCTCATCAAAACGCAAAGCCCCTCAAGAAGAGAAGATTTGCAACGATCGCCAAAACTTTCGGCCATCAAGTAAGACATCTACTGACACAAAAGCAAAGATCTTCTAGGGCAAGCAGATATACCTTTTTCTTGGTGAGTAGCAACTTCTCGGCAATCGACATCTTGGGCGGCCGGAACCCCAGCACGGGATCCTTGGACCTATTCAGACCCAGATCCTCCACCACGACCCTGACAGCCTCCCTGGAGAAGAGCTCCTTGGGCTTGAGACCCTCGCACATCGTGACGAGCCTCTCCCTCGCCTCAGCGACCAGCGCCTTCTCGGCCGCCACGGGCTCCCTGCCGCCCCGCATCTGGCCCATGGCCGACAAGACCATGACGATCTCCGCCACCCGCTTCAGATCCCCGACGTCCCTCGGCCTCTTCCTGGTCGCCGGAGTCTCGGCGGAGCCCTCGTCTCCCATCCGCGTCGGAGCGGGAGGTCGAGCGGCGAGGAGGAGGGGACCTGAAAGTGAGGAAAGACACCGGGAGCCATGAGAGGAGGGAGAGAGAAGAAACCCTAACGAGACGGAGAGAGCACGAAGAAGGGATGGGTGAGTGAGTCGAGTTTAAATACCGGATAGGGCGGGAGGGAGAGGGAGTCGTGAGCGGGCGTTTGTTGTTCGATTGAAGGGATGGCGATGAGAGTTTGGGAGAGGGGAGTTATTTGGGAAGCAGAAAGAGAACGAGAAGGGGCGGAAAGGAGTAGGAAAGGTGTGCTTATTTGTGTGCCTCCGTAGCCAAGTCGGGGATCGATACGGGCGCACCTGCGACCCCGCAAACATGTTCATATGGGCGCGGACTCGTAGCTTTATCGGATCTATTTGCATTAATGGATCCAAATTTTAGATCGGGTCAGTCATTGATTGAATCATATATGGATACAATATTGAAATAAAATGATAAGAACGAAATAACACAGTTTCATCTCTTTTATATTTATAATAAAAAATTAAGTATTTATAAAGAAGTACGAATACAAGACAGTTTCATCTCTTTTATATTTATAATAAAAAATAAATGTTTATAAGTAGCAAAATATATTTAACAATAAATAAAAAAGTTAAAGTTTTTAAGGTTGAATGGCACTGAGGTTTTAAATTATCCAAGGTATTATTTTAATTTTTTTTCTTTTTATAAATAGTAAGTAGTGATTTATTATTTTTCTTTATACTAGAAAATTAAATATTTACACATTTAGCAATAGATATTGGGTTTTTTTTTTAAAAGACCCTCAAAGTTTGAGATTTTTTAAATAGCATTTCAAGATTGAAAATTTTCTACGTAATATCATTTTTTTAAATGATTATTTTACTCCTATCGACCATCGCCTTTGCCCACCCCTTAGCCACACCTCCATAATTGCTTCCCCAAAACAAACTCTCCCTCCCTCTCCTACTCACAATCAATGACAAGAAGGGGGGCATAAGGAGATAGCGTTGGTGAGAAAAGAGTACACAACGAGGCTGGATGGTCCCTCCACGACCAACGATGAAGATGATGATACTGATATAGTGCTCAATTTTCTCACATACATAATATATATATGTACCATCATTTAAAAATATGTTTTGTGATAGCTATACTTTGTAAATATAATATATGGCATATCTATATTATCGATTTTAAAGTTGAAATACATCCTTTCAAATATGTTCTTCGAAATATTAAATAAGGTATATAAAAGTATTGATGATTATGTTAAGTATGTTTTGCAATCAAAAGGCACGATTCTCCAACAATAAGCCTAAATATATTAGCAAACTTGAGTATAAGGTTAAATCATAGTAATAAGTATACATATAATGATTAAAAAAAGTGATTACATAATAACTAGCCTTAAGTTATTCTCAAAACTTGAATGACAATAATTAAATTTTAAGTAAGAAAATATAAGTTTTAAATATCATATATGTGGAGTATAATAATTTACTTATGTATGAATGAAATACTGAAGAATTAAATAGAGATGAAAAATAAATAAAAGTGTTATACTAAAATTATTAAGATTCATGAGTTAGGTTGCATGATGAATTTAGATGAAAAATTATCATCATTGTCAAACCAAATTAGCACAAATTAGGTTATTATAAAACTAAAATTATGTTAATAAAAGAAAAAAAAAACGATAAACATGAGATGAGGTATAATGGGACTAAACCCTAGACCCTCCTGGTTGCCTTTTAAGTACCTTACACACGGCCTTCACCTTATTTTGGCCTCATCTCCTTCAATCATTTAATAAGCAGTGAAACATTCTCTTCTACTCTTAGTCTTTTTGCTATTTTTGTGAAGGCCAAAAAAAACCCCATATCTAAAAAAGAAAAATTAAGAAAATCGAACTCTTCCTTTATCTATATCTCAACTTTAGTTTAGTATATTATAAACTAAATTTTTTAGCTACTTTTGAATAACCTAAAATTTAATTTAATATTTGATTTTTTAGATTTGTTATGTATGAATTAGTTATGATTCTAAAGCCTCTGGTATTGATTTAATTTGATATTAGTGTACAGAATTATAAGTGTTCCAATTTAAGGTATTCTTGATCTCTTATTTTCAGTTAAGAGATTTTGTTCGAGCTTAATTGACCCTATTAGGGATATAATTAGATTTTTTTTCTTTTAATATGCCTTAAAAGAATCTCTTAGGCTTCTAAAGGATTTGGAATTGAGTGATTATAAGCTTTATGCACTTAGATATAAGATTTAGAAATTCGTATAGTTTTAATCTAGTTTTAATAAAATAAAATAAGTGATAGTAATTGAATTGAGAGGGTAGTTTAGCTTATAAATGATTCTATTTTGAGCTAAAATTTAATGTATGTTTAGTTTTATATACCTCTTAAGTTTTTGCAAGATTTCATGATAATACATGATAGTTTGGTTAGCATGAATAGTAAAGTAAGATTTCTTTAAAACCACACTATATCATGGATTATAGATTGAATTGATAGGGAATGACTTTGAAAATTGAATGCTTTCATAGGCTAAATGTGGTGTATTGGAAAGAGATTATACCAATATTTTCTTACAAATTATAGTTGCATGAAGAGGTATTAGTGCCTTAAGATGTAAGTTTCTTTATTTGGGAATATACCCTATTTTCCAAATTTGATATATTTATAGCTCTTCAACACATCTAATTTACAGACCGTGGCCCTTTTATGGAAACTTCATTTTAAGCTAAATCAAGTAAGTATAAGTTTAATTTATTATAAAATAATGGTTATATATATCATATAAACTCATATGTATTTTGAAAGTATGTCTTGAATGATAAGATAGTCATGAATTTAATCTATGTTTGAAAGCATATTTTAAGTCATAAGATCACCTTAAGTTATATCTAAACTTAATATTAATCTATGTATTGCATAAGCATGAAAATATATAAATTATAATAAAAATAAATGATATATATATATGATAACGTATATATATATATATATATATATATATTATCACATGTAGTATGGGAATGTATATTTTTTTTTTTTGTTGTGTGAGGGTATACGTACATACTATAGTGTACAGTGTGAGAGTGCACGTATACACTATGATGTGCGATATGGGAGTGCACATATATATTATGATAAGTGGTGTGAGAGTGTATGTATATATTACAATATGCGATAAGGGAATGCACATATATATTATGATGTACGGAATAGGAGTCCATGTCCATGTTACGATGTACGGTATGGGTGTACATGTATGTACAATGATGTGCGATTTGAGAGTGTATATATATATTATGATAAACGATGTGGAAGTGTATGTATATATTATGACATACGGTATAAGAGTGCATGTATATATTATGACGTGCTGGTCATAGGTGCCTTGCAAGCACTATGTTGATTCCCCTTCCGTCGAGGCTACTGACATCCACTAGTGATCTTCTTTCTACGAGCGAAGATCAACTACCCTTTTACAACTCGATTCTCCTTTTTATAAGTTTAGTAGACAACATTTACACTCCCACTTACTCCTCTCTTAAATTACACTAACACTTAAAGCTTTTAAGGAGTTCTCACAAGATTACAACAGCGTTTTTCTTCTTTTTTGCTCTTAATTCTTTTGTGTATCTTAACCAGGGATGAGAGGGATATTTATATGCCTCAAGTGGATTCAAACTTGGAGCCTAAAAGTGTCTCATCCCTGGTTTTCAAGGTACTAGCAGTACCACCACCTACAGCACTGACACTGGGTGGTACCACAGCCTAGTCTTATAGTACCACTGCTTGACACCCTACCACTAGGCGGTACCACTGCCTGACAACCTGCTACTGGGTTGTACCACTGCTTAATCTGGTGGTACCACCACCTAACAGTCTCTTGGAGACTATGTCTGGGCGATACCATCGCCTGACATAGTCTCGAAGATTATGCCATGACGGTTCCACCTATTGGGTCACTTTTTGGGCCTTTTCACTTGGCCCAACATAACCCAAACTTGGGCCCAATTGGTCCCTAATTGAGTTGGCCTAATTTAACCCAATTATGTGCTAACTATGAATTTTAAGACATACACTAAGCTAAATAAGTCCGGTAAGTCTAGGTTTTTTCCAACGAGCTTTCGATGATCTTCCGGCGAACTTCCGATGATCTCTCGGACAAGCTCCCAGACTTCACGACGATCTTCTTGGTGAGTTCTAACGAGCTTCTTTAGCAAGCTCCTGGACTTCTCGGTCAATTCTGACAAAACTTCTGACGAACGTCCAGACTTCCGACGAACTCTCGAACTCCCAACGAAGTCTTGTTCTTGACACCGGAACTTCATTTTGCTTTATGCCTTAATCGCTATCATAGTTAATCCTACACACTTAAAACCTACTTCGATCTAGACAATCATTACAAAGCATGAATCAAATATTGTCCGACATGTCATTGGTTCATCGACGCTTCGTCTGATTCTTTGGCGTATCGTCCTCTCTTGCGGCATATTGCCCAATCGACTAGTTGACCTCCGTAACTTCAATTTCTTTGGTGCAATTTTCACTCTCCTTAGCTCGATGCCCGAACCCATGGCTCGAAGTCTTCTACCGATACATCGACCGATCCTCCGACTCGACGTCTAATCTTCTAACATGTTCTACTCCGGCTCAACATGATTTTTCCTGCTTTTAATTATCTTTCCTTGATCGAAGCTTCCTGTGTCACTTAAAACGTATATCAAATCATAAACACTATCAATTGGTTTCATCATCAAAATTCGAGATTCAACATTATTAACCTCCATGTAATATAGGAGCCCAAAAACATTAGTAATGAAATTTATGGTCATTAATATTTAATCGATCTATAATGTCATCATTAGTCAACCTATGTTGAATAGTCTAACAATAGTGTCTAGCTTATCACATGTTTATGAAGTTCCTAATGAGATCCAAAGTTAGAGATTTAAAGAGTAACCTTAAGGAGTCCTTGTGTGTCCATGAAGTTCATGTGCTACAAACAGGATCTCGTATGCTCATAGAAGACACTTTATAACCTCAATTGTCTCTTCACTTACTGAGATGTCTTTTTACTTTCGAGAGATTTTTTGCTCAAAAGGTCTTCCAATCATCGACTTTTAGCTCAAGAGATTTCTCGCTTAACATCCTTTACCTCATCGAAGAGGTTGACTTGCAACATGAGTATTGATTGGCATGTGTTTTCTAATATAACTATCAAATCAAATCTTGTTATCAAGTGAACCATCTAAAAGAATATTATCTAATGCACTCTCCTCGAGCTAAGCATCACATGTCGTTTAATGCACTCTCATTAGACTAAGCATTGAAGACCACTCGATGCATTAAAGACTATCCGATGTACCCTCTTGAAGCTAAGTATTAAATATTTCTTAATGCATCATCCTCAAGCTAAGCATTATAGACCATTTATTGTGTCCTATGGTTAAGTATTAGAGAACACATGATGAATCCTCACCCTAAGCACTAAAGACCTAGTGTGTCTTTGGGAGAATTCAATCATCCGCCAACAAACCACATTCAACCTTCCTTATTTCTACTTTTGTAGGAGAGCCCTCAAAATATATCTTTGTAGAGATAAATGATAGGAAAAACATTCTCCTACTAATCACACATATGATATCTTCAATACTATAAAAAGACACAAGCCCTCGACCATCAACGTAGATGAACAAAAATTATTCAAAAATATTTTTATTTTGACATAATATTTCTCCTGATCGTGAACAATTAGTCGGGATTGATTATAAAAGGTAAACCAAGATAACGTTATCAGGATTTATCTCTTCTTACACTTACTTTCACTTGCTCCACTTTGGGAGTCTAATTTGAACGTCGAATTCTATCCAATATTAATTTTAGTATAAGTGGATTCCATTAGGCATGTAAAATTATATTTGATAAATTCAAAAACTCCTAGTATTAGTCGAAATCTTATTTGTTAATTACTGCAAATCTAAAACTGATATCTTTCCCTATCAACCACTTATATGTGACCTTTGTGTGATGGGGTTGAACTCAAGTCATTCAGCCAATCATACCCTCTTCTAATGCCCATTTATCTATCTGATTTGATCAAATTAATTGTTTGATGCTTATTTTTCAGTCTTAAAAAATGGATGGTTAAGATTTAAATAGAAAGGTGAGATGAACCAATTTGCAGGCACCTTCAAACTTAGCCGCACCGCATCGAACCGGAATCCATAGCTTTGGACTCGCCGCTGCATCGATCGGGTCGATCCATGGAGACCAAAACCTGTTCTGTACCATCGGTCCGAACTCCCCCGGTGCAGCGGCGAAGACGATGGCGGCTCTCGCCCGGTACCTCCACCACCCGTCACGTCGGAACCACGGCGACGGTTCCCGGCGCATCGCTCCTCTCGATCTCTCCGGCCGACGCTTTCCGTCTCGTTCGTTCACTAAACCTCTCCCTCCAGTTCCGGTTTCGCCTACACATTTCCACGTCCTTTTTGCTTTGTTGGCATGAGGAGTATCTTCGTCCTTATTCGACGAATACAGTGCGTGTTTAGTGGTTTCCCAGTTCTGGATCCTGTTTTGTCGCTCCTTCTGTCGATCCTGGCGCCCTACATGATGTATCTGCTGTCGCTTAGGGTTTAATTTGTGGGTTCTTTTCTGTTCGTGTTATGCTATGTGGATATTAGTTGAATTTTGATACAGTTATGACGCTAAATTTCGATTTTTTGTATGTGTTTATATACTTCATTCTGAGGACAGAACACCGTGGCGATTTAGTTTCTGAAGCAGCATGTCGATGATCTACCGATGGATATTAGTTTTAGTCAGTTTCTTCTCTTTGTTTGGGAGAAATAAGGGGAAAGAGGCACATCAAATGGCCTTGACGAATCCTGATTTGTTTGTTTTGTCCTGTTGTCATCGGCATTTCAATTTCTGGTTTTTGGGGGCAATGAATTTAATATCATGTAGAACCATCGATTTCGTTTTATGCTAAAACTGGCCCATTCTCCCACAACCATTCTTATCTCCTTTTCTTTCCGCAAGCCTTGATGGATATAGTTGATGTCTATCTTCACAACACTTTAATGGAACTTAATTTGTTTCTATTAAGCTTATTGGGCTTGATGAAATTTGTTAATTTGTGGGGAAATAGGAAAAGTGAGTATGTGGTTTGTGGAAAAAAGGTCATATCACTTTCTTTTGGAAATGGGATATGCTTCTAAGATGCGAGTCAAACAATACTATCACTCGACCAGAATTATATTAATCTATCAATTTGAGAATACTTGCATGTGCCAATTAGCGTGGCATATACATTGATTTGGCATTATCAGTTTTCCCGAAGGTCCATGCATAGTTTTCCTGATGGTCAGATAGGGAAAGAGAATCCTTTTAAAGAAAAAGACTTCTTGTGCTCTATGTCATAATCCTCGTTATTGTTGTCTACCAATTAGGATTGTTTGAAAGTACAAATTACGAGGTGTTTGTCTAAATGCAAACATCTTGTAAAGTTCTCAACTTCCTCTGAACCTGGCTAAACTTTTTTCTGATGGGGAAAATGTCTTTTATTTTTCTGTGCATCTGGCTTTTACTTTAATTCTGTGGCATGCACTATAGGTTAAAGCCTACTTTTAACAGTTTTTTCCCTCTCAAGCATCTTTCTGATACTAAAACTTCTCTAATCCAGAAATAGCTGTGGCTTTTTCCCAAATAAGGGAAAATGTGACCTTTAAGTTGAATGTTCATGTACCACACCATGAAGGAGAAAGTGCATTAAGCTGTGGATCCATATATTCTAGGGAATGTGTTTCCCAGAAGACTAAGTCAGAACACATTGCTGTGCAGTTATCAAGATTAAGCGGTCTTCGTGGAAGCTGTATATGGCCATCAGATATCATGGTGAGTATTCCAAAAACCTAATTGCTAAAACAATTCTTGAGAATTGTTGGAGGTGAAACAAGTTCTGAATGACCTCTTCTTATCGACTATCAAGCAAAGATTACCGAGATAATGCTATCTTTGCAAGTATTTTATTAAACAATATTCTGTTCCTCTACTTCGGCCACCTCGGGTCATCTCACTACTTTCTTGTGTCCATAATGCATTGGGTGCAAATAGATGGTGTCTAGCACATCTATTTTTCATGATACAAAAATGAGTTATAGACTTTTGTTCTCTTCGCATGATCGATTATGTCCAGCAATGTTACCCAGACTTCTAAATTTTGGGTCTTTCTGCTGGATACACACTTGGACCCTTAAAAAGATCTTGACACCATGCCAATTTATCACGTTGACAGTAACATTAGATCCAAATCTCTTGATTCTCCTTCATCCATCATTTTCAAACATAACAATTTATAAAGCTTTATTGCCCAGCATATTTACATGATCCTGATGCATTCTGAAGTGATTGTGCCTGATTCTCTTGAATTCCTTGACACTTACTCTTGTTTAGTTCAACTACCTTAGAGCATCAGAACCAGCTTTATTAACCAAGATTCTTTTATTATGGAGCTCCTAATTTAGCACCGTCTCTTTGCCAAGAGGGAAAGTGAATTCATATTTTCATAAAATTCCTTAAAATGTTGATAGATTGCACTGAGTATCAATGCTTTTATCAAACAGTAATTTAATTTCTATATATTGCGAGTTTATCAGATAAAAGTTATTTTATGGTATATTTCCTTTAAAGAAAAGAAATACCTGGTTCTACCATTCTTTTGAAATTATTGCTGCAGGAAGATAAAATGTTTGGATTTCTGAAAGCATTGGTCTTCACAAATATATGGATGCTCACTCTGCCTCTTGAAGTCTTGGCTGGAACATGTGAGAGCGATAAATCGGTTATGAAAATGCCACTGTTATTTGCAGTAGCTATGATAGGTGCTGCTGTTGGTGGTAAGATAATATTGTCAGACCCTCTATTTCTAGTTATATACACTTGTATAGTTTTGGAAGGTGATTTTCTGCTGCTTCTCTGATTATTCCACAGAACTTTTCTCGTATCCTGTGGGTCTATAATTACTTGACTGAAACTTCTATAATATCATTCTAGAATTTCCGGAATGATTCGTTTTGAAGACCTTCCCACTCTGTCCTTTAATGTAAAAGGAATTTTTATGTACAATGCAGAAACAATAGTTGTTTCTTGAAGTAGCTGTAGGTTTAGGTCCAAAACAATCCTCAGAATGACCTACATTCTTTTAACGTAAAGCTAGGACTGCTATTGTGGGGATTGCTTCGTCGGTTGTTCTGCTATGATTTTGTTTATACCAAACCTCTTTCTAGCTTGCATCATGACCTTAATCTTAAACTGTGCTAAGTCAAACAGGTGAATTTAATGAAGATGTGTCAGTTACCTTCATGAAGAATAATTTTTAAACTATTCTAGAGCATGTTTTTCTTACACTTAGCTATATCGCAGAATTGTTATCAACCTCCATAAGGCCATTGAAGCTGGTTCCTTATTTCAAATGTTTATTATCTGCATTCTTGTGATCAAATTGTTTAAGAAACTATATCATAAATTTTCAACTGATAAATTAGTTGTTAAGTGGCTAAATAAAACCTCTTCTTTTCCTTTTATAATTTCTAGGACTGCTAGCAAGGAGGAGAAGAGACGAACTGAAGCGACTGAATGACCAGTTACGTCAGATCAATGAAGCTCTAAGAAGGCAAGCGAAGATAGAGTCTTATGCTCCCAGCTTAAGCTATGCACCAGTCAGCAGGATTAAGGAAACAGATGTCATTGTGGATCCTAGGAAGCAAGAACTCCTTGCAAGTTTGAGGACTGGGAAAAACTTTTTGAGGAATCAAAATCTAGAAAAGGCATTTGCACAGTTCAAAGAAGCTTTTGAACTTGCACAGATTATGGGAGATCACTTTGAGGAAAAAAAAGCTGCACGAGGACTAGGTTTGCTATTGTTTTCATGTCGATTGTTGTTTTTTGATCGAGTAGAATTGCACAATGAGTTTCATTTTCTCTTTCAAGTCATGATTGTCATATCTTGCTCAATCATTTGCCGAGGGCAAAGAATTTCATTAGCCAAGATGCTGAAAGTTATCAGAACATGAGCATATCTCTTTGAAGGAAAGAGGACAATAGAATATCAGGATAGAATTATTAATTATGTGGGATGATCCATGAATATTCAAGTTCTATGCTTCACCAAAAGAAAAACATTATAATCTCAAGTTCATTAACCACATCTTTTCCCCCCTTTTTCATGTAGGTGCATCACTACAGAGGCAGGGAAAATACAGGGAAGCCATAAAGTACTACTCCAAGGTTCTAGAGATATCCAAGAGAACAGGAGAGGATTCAGGCATCACCGAGGCTTACGGAGCAATAGCCGACTGCTATACTGAACTTGGAGATCTCGAACGTGCAGCCAAGTTCTACGACAAGTACATAGCTAGATTGGAAACGGACTGATTGGATTCCACTGTTTATTTCATTTCATGTTGCTTCTTTTAGTGAAGTGTGAATGGAGTACACGCGACAATGAGAATCTGTCCCATGAGGTGTGGAATATTTCTGGTAGAAAGACTGTTCTCAGAATTTGCTGCCAAATCTTCAATGTCACTGTGAGAACTTGTTTACCAGGGAAAGAACCCTAGCATGTGCAAGAGATTAAATCAGTATAGAGTTGTGTTATTCTCTGATGGCACTGGCATGCCTTTTGACCATGTTGTCTTTGTTCTCCATGCAAGCCACTGAAATGGGTCTGGCAAACCTCTCATGTAAAATACAACCATCGTTTTCTAATCGTATGGAATGGAGACAGTAGGCTGAAATGTTTGGTGTTCTGTACCAGATTCTTTGTCAATTCCATTTGCTAGCAAATGGAACTTTGACACTCTAAGATGAGTTTCATATTCGGACTAATTATAGATTATTTTTTATAATTAGTTATCTTTAGTATCTTGATTTCTATACTTATATACTCTAGCATGTGTTCAGTGCTAAATTGTTAAATGATTCTCTTTCATAACTATATATAGATCCGAATGTAATTTTTGTGAGCCCCTTATATTCTTTGCTTGATGGAAGTCTAACACTTGAGTTTAGTCTTTTATCCTAACTAAAGAGCTGGTCATCTATCACTTATCACTTCTCTCCGACACAAAATGATTAGGTGGAATTGATGTGCATGCCAACACCCACCTAAGCCATTGGCGACATATATAATGTATCGTCTTAAATGAACCTTACAAATAGGGGAGTAGAAGCTGATTCTTCTCACCTCAGTGGATGATATATCCACCTTATTCTAGTAATTCACTAGTAGATCGACATGGCTTCTTAGGCTTTGCTCGTGTTCGGTTTGCTCTTGACAACTCTCAACTCCGGTGGTTGCCCGGTGAGGTTTCTGATACTGAATACCAAGCTGAGCCGGGGAACAAACTGAGGCGTGTGTGTGTGTGTGTGTTCCAGTAATCCTCATTGCATGATGCTTTCAGCAAATATGTGCTGCATGTTATGGTTTAGAGAGAATAAATGAGGAAGAAGGCCTCTCGGTTTTCTTCATTGTTCATGGTTGCTTGGTTGTGGCACTCCAACCACTCCTTCTTTCTGATCGCTGCCTATCCCCAGCTAACACCATCCTATCACTTAAAAAAGACAAAGAAATTGTTGAAAGTTGAAACCTAATATAGATTGGATGGTTTCCTAATAACTTCAAAACTTTTTTTTTGTATTATGGTATCAGAATAGGTCATAAATTTGAAACTTGTATTTGTCCTTTTCTATTTAATTTAATGTTTAATCAACATTTGTATAATGCGTTCTTTTCATCAAGTTTCGGAGAAATCATCAATTATTTATATTAGTACATATGAATGAATGGTGAAAGTATTTCATCTCGAGGAAAGGTGAAAATACAACTGAATTATATCTATATACTAGCTTGATAAATGTACATTTATCTCAAGATATATTTCTATGAACCAAATGCCATGGTTTTAGGAAATTGATCTTGACTTTTGTTACTGCAAGAGAACCTTTCATTTGATAACACTGTGTTCAACCTGGTGAGTCCATAAATATACAGCTTGGAAATTGTTTGGAAAACAGAGCTTTTAGATTATGACAGTCAATTTCTGTCTTAGATGCATTCTTTTCTGGTCTTTTAAGCTATACTTATCTGCCAATTAACTTGATCAAAACAGTCAGTTATGTTAATGCCATTTCCATACTTCCATAATCATGCCTTCCACCATTAGAAGAACTCTTTTGTGATCAATTTCACCCATAGACATAGGCCTATTTGTCAAACCATTTCATCTCTTAATTTTGTGAGGTCTAATGTGTGCGCTATCGTCAATTTCGGTCTGAACATATGGTTCAAGTTCATCAAATTAATGAATTAGTTATCCCATCGAGCCAAAGAATGATTAATGGCCAACTGTGATCAAACATGCTTAAAGAGAAGATGGTTCGGGCATGCTATTTCAAAAAATATTGCTATGAAAATGAAGCTTTATGGAGAATCAAAAGCCATTAGATTTAAGTAGAAGAGAAGACATCACATTATATATACTTTTTCTGTAACAACAAGTAGCATTCAATTGTTCAGCAAGCAACCAGCACATATGATTCAGAAAATAACATGCCTGTAATATTGTTTTCAGGAGATGTCTGAGGAATAATACATTAGATTTGTTCTGTCAGAGAGCTTCTGTACCAAATCAGTGAATGGAGTAAACAGAAACTGTGGATGACAGGGCATGTTGGAGATGTAAGCTAATGCTAATGCATAAATGGTTCTGTAAAATTTCCTGAATCAGTAGCAACAAGGTTGAATAACTGACAGCAACATGAACAAACATAAATGTTATGCAATACATCACAAAAAAATAAAAGGTTCCTGACACATGGAAAAACTAGTTCTTATGGATCAGCAGATTGGACATTCTTGGTCAATTGTCCGGCACTCATTATGCTGTTGATGTCACAGTGATACATCCCATGCTAATGCGTAAATGGTTCTGTAAAATTTCCTGAATCAGCAACAAGGTTCTGCGAAATTTCCTGAATCGGATAGTCTTAGAGATGCGAGCTCATGTTAATGCGTAAATGGTTCTGTAAAATTTCCTGAATCAGTAACAAAAAGGTTGAATAACTGACAGAAACACGAACAAACATAAATGTTATGAAATACATCACAAAAAAATAAAAGATTTCTGACACATGGAAAACTAGTTCATATGGATCAGCAGATTGGATAGTCTTGGTCAGTTGTCCGCCACTTGCTACGCTGTTGATGTCACAATGATACATCTCAGAACAAAACAGGATAAACATCGGAAAAACTAAGCACACTAGTTGATGTCACAGATACAGATATTAGTCCGTCCGTCCTTTTGTTAGAGCTTACTGAAACTTCTGAAGAATTTGTAGGCGCAGAATTAAGACTTCTCTAGATGGACACTATCAGTCCGTTGGTGCCCATTCTTTACGGATGTCAAAGGTGTAATTGATCTCCAAGTAACACTTGCCATCATCATCAACAAACTGATACAAGAAAGTAACAGCATTAGTAAATGAATAAAGACTCAACAAAGATGAAGTCATAGGGTACACACTACACAATGACTCCAATTAGAACGCTAGCTCTAAGGTAGCAATTGTGTAACAATTAAGGACACAATCTACTTATGGTTCTTTCCCCTGGTGTGCAATCTAGTTATCTAGATTAAAAGAGTCAACTAGTTGGATAAGTAGATGGTTGCTGTGTAACCTGGATATATGACATTTTCTAAATCAAAAAATATATAAAGCACATGATCATAACTAGAAGGCCAAACACAAAACTCCTCGCGAGTATTTTAATGTATCAGCACAAGAGCATGACCTTTCCTTTGAAATTAGGCAAAGAAAAATAAGAGAAGTAAACTAGTGGTACCCTTTGAATCTTTTGTTAAAACCACATTCTTGTTCGCAATGGTTATGGAAGTAGTATCACCCATGGCTCAAAGACTCATTAGTCATAATCCATGAGCCAGGTTCAAGAACTTGACTCAATTCAGATAAAACAGTTACTTAGATCAGTCAAGGCACTTTAATGATCTCACAAAAAAGTTCAAAAAAAGGTATATGCAACCAGAAAAATAAGATGGTGAAGGCAATATTGATTCAAGTATATATAGAGTTAAGATTTTATTCAGTATAACCACAATAATGTGCTGAGTGAATTGTTGCACAAACAATGAACATCTACTTTGGTTCTAATAGTCCTAAACATAATTAAACACAGTTAATATACCATAGTTCTTGCAGAATATGATCCTCTTGCAAATAGACCAGATGGAGTGGTCTCTTCTGGTGTCTCATATGTGTAAGGCTCAAGCTGAGGACTGAAGGTACCTAGCATTTCTTTTGTTCGATCCACTGAAATGGAAATTGATCTTTTGTCAACATCATGCAGAAGGAAAGAAACTATATAACTTACACCAAAAGAAAGAAGCAGAATTGATGGAGACCAAAAGAGCAACCGCATCGTTAGTGTTCATAATAAATAGGATAAGAAGCTCCATGGGAAATTAAAGTGGCAAACTCGGATAAGAGAGCTAACTTTTGACGCCAGTCTTCCATACTGTGTTGATGTATCTCAGACCAGAGACAATGTTGTTGCTGACGGAGAAGGAAAATTTCAATTTGTAAGGGCTGCCTTCCTTTAGAGTAAACCACACACCCTTGGAGTTTGGAACCATAGGAAGCGGGAGGACTATGTCAGCTCTTCCGGGAGAGATGATCGAAAGGCACAGAATCGTAACCTCGGGCTCTAAATTTTCTGTACGATCACGAAGAACAGAAAACCAAACTTAAGGCTCATCCTAAGCGTGCCAAGAAATTAATCCTCAAACATTTAATCAATAAAATGAGTAAAAATTTCAGGATTTCTCTTTTTCTCTTTCCTTTTCTTTGGAAATTCAGGTAAGCTTTGTGAAGATTACAATAGAACCAACACAAAACCGAGGCGCTTAACAAAGACAACAAGGCCACGAGAAGGAAAATGAATCAAAACCAGGACTTTCAGTTCAAGTTTCAGAACATTAGATGCCAAATGTTTCGCTTACTCGATGGAGGTTGAATGAATCGGACAAGGAGACGGACATTCCAAAACATAGGACTAAATAAAAGACTTACTAATCCATTTAACAGTTCGCTAGAAATGCCAAGATGGAGAAGGATGTCGAACGATAAAGGAGAGAGAACACTACCAGCGAGTATGTCGAACGATGATGACGAACAAAAAGTTGGCGAGAGAAAGCTCAGACTTACCGCCCACAGAATTCAAATCCACGCTTCCCAGAAGCTGTTCCTTCCACTTCCTGAGGCTCTCATCATCCTGCTCCCAAAATACGCACGATGAAACGGAAACGAAAGCAATGGGGTTGAAAGTTACGAGGAAAGGAATCGAAGCCAAACCTTGTCTTTCTCCAACTGGTCTTTGATGCTGACCTGAGGCCCCAGATCAAGCCCTTTGGCGCCTTTTCCATCCTCCTCCTCGTCGTCCTCCTCCTCCTCCTCCTCCTCGGTGGCGTGGAGAGAGATCTCGCTCATCCGCCTGTCGAGGCCCTCCCCCCCCTCCCCACCGGGACGCCCATGCTCTGACTTACTTTCCCTTTCGCCCTCCCTTACCGTCAAAATCCCATTTTGCTCAGCCTTCCCACGCTTCTGGTCCAAACCCATGTCCCTCGAACCGGGAAGATCTCCAACGGCAGAAGACATATCAACCTCACCACATCCACAGCAGGAGACACCAAGAAACACAGCCAAAGCAGGTCAAAAGGAATTCCCTCACCTGCCAACGGTCGGAACCACAAAAGAAGCATTAGAACCCAAAAGGAGAGACGACAAGAGAATGGACACAAAAAGGAGGCAACTTGGAACATACCTTGCAATGTGCAGCCCTGCAGGAACAAAACTAACGGGAGAATTTGGCTAAAGAGGGAAGAACTGCTGCAGCGAGCTTTCTCATTCGGCGGGGAGAGAGAAAAGCGAGAGGCTTAAATTAGGATTTAGAGGGAGATGGAGAGAAGGGGAGGGTGATTGGACGGAGGCGAGCTGCTCGTTTGACCCATTCTTCGAGTTTGTGGGGAAGTGATTGCCGATATAAATAGTTTATAGCGGATATATATTTGAAGTGGTATCTATCGTGTTACTACTATTGCTGCATTGATGATGAGCAGACTACAGTACAGTACAGTACAGTACAGGATTTTTGCAGTTTTGGTAGGGGGTGGGGGGAGAGAGAGAAATGCCTGATTTGATGTCCAAGATTCCATTCCAGATGAGAAGATTTGGTGCCCCTAATCAAGCTTGGAAACATGATGACTTCTCTCTTACATATATTGTTAATTGATAATAATATAGAAGGTCTATATGATGACCTTAAATTAAATTTATATGTCATCTAATCAAGTTTTAGAAATTTTGTGACACATATAGATATAGAAAATATAAATATCTTAGTCAATGATTTACGTCGAACGAAATTGATAAACTAATTAGCTCATAAATCATAGGTCATAATACCTTGATAGTTTATCGGATCATAAACTCCCTTGTCATTTACTTTTTATTAAAGAAAGATCAATTATATTGATGAAGGTCAATTATTTCGATATAGACATGTTTAAAATCTAAGAGTTATCCGAAATATGGATGGAGGATCTATTCGAAATGATTTATTGAAAATTAATTTTAGCAAAGTTGAGAAGTTTATAAAATGATTTCTGATTTTTTTTTTTTGGACAAAGACACTCCAAAAGTAAGATTTTTAATATTTGATAATAAATATCTTAGACGAAAAAAAAATTGAATCATTAAATAATTGAATAATGATGTTGGTCGATATAATGTTTTTAACTAGCTTAAGATTACATAACCTAAGATCACCTTGGTGATTCTGTCCTAATTGATAAGACACATATGTTAAGGATATGCTAGAGAGGAAAGTGCCCAATATGAGTTAAGGATTCATTCGAAATGATTTGTTGAAAATCAATTTTATTGAGAAGTTTATAAAAAGATTTTTGAATATTTTTATGGGACAAAGACACTCTAACGGTAAGGTTTTCAATCTTTGATAATAAATATCTTAGACAAATTTTTTTTGAACAATTAAATAATCAAATGGTGTTGATGGTCGATATAGTATTTTTAACTAGCTTGAGATTATGTAACCTAAGATCACCCTAGTGATTATGTCCTAATTGATAAGACATATATATCCATAAAGATGGAGAGTTGTGCCAAAAGAATCTACCAAGAAGAAAGCATTCAATATGAGTTGATCTTTCATTTGAAATAATTTATTGAAAACCAATTTTAATGAAGTCAAAAAGTTTATAAATTTTTTTTTGAATATTTTTATGAGACAAAACGCTCCAAAGGTAAAGTTTTCAATCTTTGATAATAAATATTTTAGACAAAAAAAAAACTTGAATCATTAAATAATTAAATGATGTTGATGGTCGATATAGTGTTTTTAACTAGCTTGAGATTAGGTAACATGAGATCACCCTAATGATTCTATCCTAATTGATAAGACATGTATTGTTAGAAAAATTTATCGTTGATGTTTGTATTAGCACGACATGACCTTGATCTAAGTGCGAGAAGTCGTTTGGGATGATGTAAAGTCTTCTACTCCTTATTCCTATAAAAAGACTAAAGTCGAGAGGGGTTCTCCTGAGTTGGTCTTTCGATGCCTAAATTAAACGCTTTCTTTTTTTCTCTCTTTTTTTTAGAGCTTTGGGTGTGTTTTTATACTAACCTTGAGGGAGAGGAGTAACCTATGTGGATCTCGTGGATGAAAAGTTTTTAGTGATATACCGAAAGATAATCGATTCGAACTATTTCCTAATCTTCTTGGAATATTCCGATATTTCGAAAAGAAACTGATTCATAATTAATTCGGAGTGTCCCCTAATTTTGTTAAAATATTTTTATGAATATTTCGTAGGGGAGATCGATCGATAATTAACTTAATCTATCTTTTTGAGAGATGCCTCAACAACTTGGCACATCTGATATTGACTTAAGCCGCCTTTTAGATCTCATCTTTTAATGTGGTCCTTACATGCTGAATGGTGATTAGTTGGTTTTACATTTCCCATCACTTATGCTAGAATATGTTAGAGAGAAAAGCGATAATAAGAGATGACATTGAGAGTATGCAATGAGACTTTTCAATTATCCGGAGACATTTGTTAATGATAATGTCTTGGATCAAAGTCCTTTTAAGTTTATATTTACATGAAATTTATGTTACACGTAATCACTTCTCAGTCTGGCTTTCACAAGGCATGAAGTCACTGGGTCCATCATGGGCCTTTTGGGCTCTTTGCACTACATGTTTGGATCCTTCGAGGCCCAAACGGCCCACAAGAAATTGGCCACCTCTCAAAATACGACGAACGACCAGCTATGGGCTCAAATCCCCTGCAAAGTTAATTTGCAGCTAATTGTTACAATTCTGCTCTGATCAAATCATAAGGGATGGTTATTAAGGGTAAAATAAGATGTTCCTCAGAGAAAATAGAAAATATAAATCTGTACGGAATTCTAGCGACTCACTGCAACCTCGGTTTGTAGGGGATCCTGTAGTGGGTCCCACTCAAACACGTGGCACGTCTGTCCGTGATAAGGGCGGCACGTGGCTGCCACCGATCTCCTTAAACCCCCCTCCCGGGCCCCACCAAAACTGTTCTCTTCGTCATCTCCATCTCTCCCAAGCCATAAACTTGCTGCCGTTTGATCGTCCCCTCGTCCAAACCCCTTCGTCGCCGGCGATGCGATAGAGATCCCGTCTAGATGGCGCTCGATCTTTTCCCCCTCGCGGGAATGGTGTTCGACGACAACGCCGCGGCCGCCGATCGCGGCCGCGTCGTCTCCGTCTCGATGTTCGTTGCCGTGCTCTGCCTGTGCATGGTCGTGGGGCACTTGCTGGAAGAAAGCCGATGGACCAACGAGTCCATCACTTCCATCGTAATCGTAAGCACTGATCCCTGACTTTTCCTTAGCTGCTAATCTTGTCAGATGCGCCGAAGCGATTGTCCAAGGTGAAAAAGGGAAGAGTTCTTCTATCCATCTGTGGAAAGAAGTGATTAGAACCTTATTAAGATCTATCCTCCGCTGAGTAGCAGAATAAGTTATTGTTGGTGGAATGAAATGTGCAAACGTGTCATCTGGCTTTCCAAAAGTGCGAAATTCCGATTGGACTAATAGTTGAGCGTAGTGCAAATGTTCGTTGGAAAAGATCACGGCCTTTTGCCGTTTTCTATTTCTAACTGGGTTTTGGTACAATATCTGTGTCCATGTGACGACGGCATTCATGTCTGTTATCCAGAAGATATGTAATGGTAGATTTGGAACAGGATGTTTATACATGCAGCTTCTTGAAGGTTGGTTATTTGGTGCACAGTTCCTTGGATTCTTCTTTTCAACTTGATAGAACTATTCCTTGGTTTCTTTGAGTTGTACGTTATTGGATTATGAAGAGGAAGAAGTAGATAAAATGGTACTTTTCAGCAATAGTTGAACAAGAAAGGGACAAAAAATAGTGAAAATGAATTTAATTGGCCTGATCCGTGGGCAGTTGTGCTCTGTCCAGAGGAAGTGTAAGAATGTTCTTTCTTTTGGTACATAAAGGCAGATAAAAAGTTGAACAATTTTATGTATAGTTCATGCCCTGATTTACTACAATCTTCTGTAAACAAGCAAACCTTAAGGTGGAAGAGAAGAAAAGGAGGCACAATGAGTGCATTGACAATTCGGGCTGGAATAAAATGGAAAATTTAACTTAGATTACTTTTTCAGGCGGTCAAGAAGTGAGTGACAAACGTTATAGAAATGCACTTCCCTAGCTTATATCTTTCGTTTAATGATATTGTTAATACTTCCATAATGTTTGAGCAATTTATATATTTCAGCCTGTCAGAAATTTTTTCCAAGTGGCAAAGGTTTAAACTCCCTGTCTAACTTAGGGATGCATCGTTGGTACCATAATCTTGGTCGCTAGCAAAGGAAAAAATTCCCACATTGTCAGGTTTGATCAGGAATTATTTTTCATGTATCTTCTACCACCAATCATCTTCAATGCTGGGTAAGTGCTTCAAAACCCTGTTTCTAGTATCGCCTTTGTAGAAAATTTCTGAAATGTCTTTATTGACTTGAATCACATGCTATACTGCTTCAGGTTTCAGGTTAAGAAGAAACAGTTCTTCCATAATTTTTTGACAATATTGTTGTTTGGAGTAGTTGGCATTTTCATTTCATTTGTCATCATTTCAGCAGGTAATCTTTCTTTCATTCAAGTTTATGACTAATTGCTTGTAGATTGCAACTGTGGATCATGATAAATAAGATGGTAAATACAAGAAAAAATGTTTTACTTGCTAAAAAATATTGTTTTCATGTCCTCATCACCGATCTTAAAGGAATTGAAGCACTTGCAGGCTGATGTCATGGTGATGTGGAGTGCAATTTCTGTTTTCTAATAACATAAGTTGTCCTGGTTCTGTGGCTGCTACCTCAAAATTGATAATTTAGCTGGCCCATCTTATCTAACGCTCCTCCTTGTCTAGTGGTTGTGAGGAAATCCTGTGCAACACATGGATACCTATGTAGACATGTACTCGTATTCTGTGTGCAATCATGTTCTATAGTACCTGCACACTGTTGATGGTCGTACAGAACCGTTGGTCATAAATTCTTGTCTTTGATAGTCCTAAGATACAAAATCATTTCCTTCTCATTGGTTAGATCCAGGAAATCCTTTGCTCTTCAGCACCAACAAACTTTCCATCAGATCTCACTTATGATATCTCCATTACGCTTTGCCTGCTGAAGCCAGAATGTTTTTCTTGGCTAATGAAAAAAGGCTTAGATTAACAGTGATACTTTTCCTGTTTTACAAGTTTTTTACTAAACTATAGAATTAATAGTAGAAGCGAAAATGCTATGGTAGCAAAATTGACATTACACCTTTTTAAGTTACAGTTGTTCTGATAAACAAATTGTGCTAAGCCAAATTTCTGTCATCAAGAAACTTCCATATACTGATAATGAAACTACATCTTCC